TCACAGAGAATTTGTGAATAAAAAATATTCTTTCTACAGAAGTTGTAGTTCCTGAAAAACAGAGGTTTTTCAGGAACTACAACTTCAGGAACTAATTAACATTATCGAATTTTTTAAAATTTTGAAATTTGAATATTTCTTCACATTTTATTAAATATTTTGACCCATCTCTCAGAAAAATTTTTTTCTTTGTTCCATCTCTCCATATATTTGATTATTCTCTTTATCGGTGTCCATTGATTAAATTGTCTAATTTCATCCATATCTGTATCTATAATATGTTCCTTAAATTTGTTGAAACTATTCTGTAACCTACATATGCCATTTCTTCTTAGCAGTATCTAAATTTATGATCCTTATAAATTCAGAATTAACATTTTCTAAAATCACAAGTTCAGAATACAATATACAAACCAGAAAGCTAAGTTTCTTGATTTTCAAAAATAGGACAAACGTGAAGATTTCACTAAAATGACAGGACAGTTGGAACTAGTGTTGCCACCTTTTCAAAATTATTGACCTGGACAATAGGTTTATTACAACACAAGTCCCTGACTGGTTTGAATTTGAAACCATACAAGGCATGCACAATGTCATTTTACAGCCAAGAACTGAATAATGCGCATGCTAGTTTTAAACCAGTTAAAGACTTGTGTTGGAACAGACCTAATACAGTATTTGCCAGAGATATTTAAGAGTTAGAATTTTAAAAGTAGATTTTGTCACTCTTATCCTAGGGATAAGATGAGGATAAGTTTGGGTGGGGTGTGAAGTTAAAGTCTTTAACTGTTAAAAGATTTACTTTGCATTGACCGTGACCACTACAAGGTTTAGCTATGTCTCCGGGGCATGCTTTACATTCTGGCCCATAATGATTATCTGGACAGCAAACTGTAATAAAATGAACAAAATTTTTCACAATGTCTTATTATTTGTCAGATTATTTTCAATATCTGATACCTTTTAATTTATCAATGCAGAGATATTGATAAAGATCTGGTGTAGAATTTCTTTTATGAAACCACCATTCTTCTAAAACTGCTTCCTGCTCATCAGCCAGTGCTAAACACTAACAATTTGATAAATGTATTATTTTAAAAGTATTAATGATAAATATGAAAATACAATAAATTTAATTTTTACCTGAATTTGCTGATCTGTATCTTTACATAATTTTTCTTGAATCTCTACTAATCGAACCTCACTAAAAATGATTATAAAATTAAATAAATTTTAAAACAAAGGTAAAAGTTTAGTAAAATAACAAAAATCATAAATGAAATTTCTGATAATTAAAAAATGCAAGTTGCTTCTACAGCAATAAGATGAATCATGTTTTTATTATTTTTAATAGTGCTTGTTATAGTAATTGTCAGGTGACATTTGTTGACAATCCATTGGTGACCTTTGTAACTACTGTGGGAAGAGTGTAGCATTACAGCAAAAGAGTATAACTACTAGCAGCAACTGCAAATAAACACACACACACACACACAGGATATATTCCCATATGAATGGAAATCCATGAATATCCAGAAAATCCAGAATATCACCAGAATTCCAGTGTCATTCATTATTAGGTAGATATTGATTTGTCATTCATCTAACTGGATGTACAAACAGTAAAAATGTCTGAATGATCTTTTTGGGGAGAGTGCTGTGACTAAAATAAGGAATATTCATCTGGGTAACAGACTAAGAGTTGACTTAAAGATGTTCACTTGCAGAAGATAAATATGTGGATGTGGGTACTGTAATGTAGAGACCAGGGTAATGTGAGGACAGAACTAATTGCAAGATGCTGGATTACCAAGGATGTAGACATGGATATCAGCTGAATATGTTCAACTGAAGGTACCTATGAGCCAAATATAATTCTCTCTCTCTCTCTGTAGTAACTTAGCAACAGCAATGTGTAAAATATGAATAATAATAAATTAACTTTTATCTCTAACTGTTGAACATAGTCACTTTCTGTCCAAATCCACATGACAAAACATCTCTCACTAAGGTGCGTCAAAGATTAAAGTGAAGTTAACTGACCAGCTGTCACTCTGACCAAGGTCACACATATTGAAAGTCAAACAAAACCCAAGGCATCTCTCACTTGTTTACTCTGTATAATTAGGTTATACGACCACACAGCAACCCACATATGGCAACTTTAGCAATTTTACAGTACATCTCCATGCAAGAGTTGCCTTATTTTCTGTTGATTCATCCACTCATCTGTTCTTTCCCTACTCTATCATCACTAGCTTCTTCTTACAGTCAAATCATATGAGTAGTTTCTAAACACTCAATAAGATTATTACATAAGGGTGTACCCAGCAAGGGACAGCTGCCCCTCCCTAGAAGAAAAATTAGTGTAGTAATTGACACACAGTACAGTCGTATCAATTTAGTATCAGTTTGAATAATGAATATTGGGACTAGACTAGAGCCATCTGTCATGAAATCTCACTCTCCCTCCCCACTTCCTCAAAACTAATAAGAGTTGCCCCTCTCTAGTTCAGATCCTGGGTACACCACTGTTATTACATTTTAAATATGTATCTATTTTCTAAGCTTTTTAAAATAGTTTTATTACTGAAAATATAATGCTTTTATTACATTACATTCATTTTATCTTGTTAAAAGAAGGCAAAAGGCAGATTTTGGTTTTTAATGATTCTTAAAATTACAATGGATAATAGACTATTTATTTTTTTGAAATTTTATGTACAGTTGAAGCACTAGTTACACATTGGTTATTGTCACAGAAATTTTTATCTCTGACCAACCCCCATAAGTAAATACAGTAGAGCATCGATTATCCAAATGTCAATCAACCAAAACGTCAATTAACTGAAAGCTTTCCGGTTGGCAAATTTAAATTTCCACTAGTGCTGTGGCACTGCAATCTTTGGCTATGTCTTGGGCTACTCCAATATTATTTTTGTTGGTGTGCGTGTTTTAGCTGGCAGCACTGGTGCAGGCCACGAGAGGGTACTTAAAAATGTGCCAGGATTTAAACAAATTTCAACATGGGATAGGTTAATATATTTTTTTGTACCTAATCGGTTATCCAAAAAATCGATTTTCCTAACAACTCCAGTTCCCAATTGATTTGGATAATCAATGCTCTACTGTAATAGACTTTTCTCTGGTTAACATCACTCTACCTATTAGCACAAGTTGAGTGATGTCAAGATATTTGGTGCACTGTGGATTTAAATATTCCATTTAATATCACAAAGTTCCCAGCTACGAACAACTCAGCAAAGTGTTTTCAACATTGTCTATTGACATCTTTTCAATTTATAACAAAATATGGGATTTATAACTTATTTAATGGTTTTTAAGTGTGAAATCTAACAGTTTTCTTATCCAAACTGCAGTTTTTGTGAGTGCCTTAGCAGTTTTCAGTTTCAGGATTAGCAATACTAATTACACTATCCTCATTTAGTCATTCTTATCAAGCAAAGTACACTGTAAGGATTTATAGTGCTGTATAATTCTCATTATAATAAAAAAAAATTGCAACAAAATTTTTTTTACTTTTTGATTATAATATATATAATAAACTATGTGCTTGATAATGTATCTTATTTGTTTATTAAATGTATATGGCAAGTATAGGACATATACAGTAGGCCTTCCTGTACTGGTGGAATTTAAATCTCGAGCTCTTCTATTGAACTCCAATTAATGTCACCTTATACTGACAGTCCTACAGATGTGATATTAAACGGATGTGGCTGTAAAGTAAAATCTAATTATTGGAATTATGGATAATTCTCAGCAATTTAATGTTTAATTATTTAATAAAGTTTAATTATTCTCAGCAATTTAATGTTATCAGAATTAGTAAGTCTGAAAACACGCAAGTTAAAATCACTAAAAAAACGTTATATAAATTCTCATTACAATAAGCAGTTATCATCATTTTCAATAAAACTTCACTTTAAAAGTTTTTTATTAATTGCTTTAACATTGCCATTTTAATATCAGAGTCAATAAAAATAGAATTTCCAGTAATTATAGTCCTACTTACATATCCAGCCTAATGTTATCAGACTGTTATTGTTATCAGTATGAATGATTTCCAAAGTGATCGTAATAAGCAAATCTGTTACCTGCCAGATGAATTAGGCAGTAAGGGTATCAGCTTCCACTCTGGGCAATCTGTCCTGAATATGTTGTGCCCAGTCCATCACTACCCAGCTGAACCCACAATGGGCCTGGAAAAAAAGGCCATCTTAGTGCCCACAGGGCAGAAAGAGTCAAAATGAAAAATCAAGCTACTGTTTTTTTTTTTTCTCANATGGCACTCTAAAAAAAAAAATTAATTCTACTGAAAAGTATCAAAATTAATGTTATTTAAATTTTTACAATGTGTGTATGTGTAATAATTCAGATTGTTTAAAATTTTAATGTATGCATTGTTGTATGCTACTATTTTCGTAATAAATGTTATAAACTTATGAATTTTATAAGGTATTTTTTGATTTTCTTCGATATGTCCTTTATTTTCCCCCAAAAAATATGATCACTGTAATTATACATGACCCATAAATGGAAAGTAATTTTGGAAGGTCTATATCTGACAAAGGGTCGCCCGTAGAAGTACGGTTTCTTTGACTTTTTTGTTCTTATCAGTGTGCTCTACGGCTGTTAAGGTCCCAACCGTCTCATTTGGAGCTCGAATTGGGCCCTTTTTAATCAACTTATGAACTTATAATCCTAATTATGATGAAAAATAAAAAAGGTACAAATCTGTAACATTTTGACATGTGACATTTCATTATCTGCAACTGCAATCTTAAGTAATTTTTTTTTTTTTTGGTCTTCGAGATGATCTATTTTTGGCATTCTGCAAGCTTTCACGTTCGTAGGCACAGAATTATAATTTATGCTTATAAATTCGACTCGGTATAAATTAAAGCATACATTTATTTAAAAATTATTAATTTTAAAATGAATTTCTTAAAGAAATATATGAATTCATTCTTATTTACCTGTAATTGAAAAAATCTTAATTGTGGTATAGCAATTGGTGAAACTACGACTTTCGATTTAACCCACTTAAACATAAAGAAAAGCGTTTCGCATTCTTTCATCTCAGGATACTTTCCAATTTGAATCAGATTACTAAACACGTGCTAAAAAATTATCTTGCCGTCATTTGTAAATAATTCTTAAAACGCACAATAGATGGCGAGATCGTCGTTTGTTTTTGTAAAAATGCTTCATTCATTTCTCTTCTTGTGTTTATGTTATATGGAGGTAAAAATGTTTTTTTTTTTTTTTTGTCTTTNTGCTATAGATTTCAAATATTAATATATACCAGTGTAATGTATAAAATATATATATATATATATATATAAACTACGGCTGAATGGCCGAGCCGTTAAGTATCAGCCCACTGCTCTGGGGGACTGGAAAACGTATCCCGAGGATTTTTGGGAATGATCCGTTCCGGATGCGTTGGGTTCCGTCTCTCGCTACTATCCGCTCCATGAAGCCTGGTTGACCCCAAAAAAAGCCCATCTTAGTGCCGCAGAGCAAAAAATAATTATTTCATTAATTGTTTTATGACTCTATTAACAAATGCTTCTTTCTGGGTTGTAAATTGACTAATTGACAAAGTTTTTATTTTATTTTACTCGTAAGAATGTTATCTTAAAAATTTAAAAGATAATTTTATTAGATCTTTACACATTAATTTTATTTTTAAATTTTTATGTGATATAGTCGCGTGTTGGGCTTAAATCGATCACCTAATATCGAGACTTGACATCGTTCGAAATATTATTTAAAAAATCAAAATTCTTTGCTGATAGTTTAGGCAGAAATGTTTTCTATGTACAGTACGAATAGTTATGATAATACAACCAGTAGAACAATATATATAAAACAATTATTATTTTCATATAATAATTCAATAAAAACTGATAAAATAAAATTATTTGTACATAAAAAGTTAATCAGAATACGATTGGTAAAGAAAAATTTTTTTTAAAAATTCAGATAGTTATTTTTAATCATAAAATATTTAAAATTTCTGGATATGTCCAAAAGCTTTAATAAGCTATAATAAGCTGTACTATAATGTATTATTAATTTAAAAAGAAATGAGAGGGGGTAGGTTGTAGGCGGTGAAGAATGAGAGTGAGGACAGAGAATGTGTGCGAAAATTCTACGATATTCCAGAAAATTTTAGAACTTTCTAAAAAGACTGGAACATTCTCATTGAAGCGTCACACATTTTCGAAGTCAACCCTATATCTTCCACACCCTTATAGCTATCGAGACGCAACTACCATAGTGCACGATAGGAGACTTGCGGCTACTGCCACACACAAACACCATTCATGTGCGATGTGTAGTTTTGGCTGCAGAGTGAAATATAGGCACAAACACGTCCATTTATACAGGTATACCTCGACTTACGTCGTTTCGAGTTACGTCGTTCCCGATTATACGTCGTTTGTCAAAAAAGTATATGGAAAAATAAAAATAAAGTTTAAGTCGTTTTATTCGACTTTACGTCTGTCCGCCACAAATATTGCAGTCGTAATATCACTAGAAAAATGTTTAAAGCACATAAAATCATATTAAAATATATACATTTACAAGTATGTACTGTATTTACAGTACATGCATTCGTAAATTTAGATTACTTTTTTTTGTACTATATTAAAAAGTAAAATTTATTTGTTTGTAAGCTTAAAATAGATCCTTATTAACCATACATTATTAAAAATGCATTAATAAATAAAATACAGAACCGGAATTGGCAATTTATGGTTTAGCCTAGTGACAAGTAGATTTGGAGACAAGTGAATTCGACTTAAGTCGTTCTCCTGGAACCAATTACCGACGTAAGGCGAGGTATACCTGTATATATATTATTAAACGTTATAATAAACAATTAATTATATAATACGGATTTAATGTCAATACAAACGAGTTTCCCGAAAATTTGTCTCGTTTCTCGGGAGATACACTACTGAACACTGTTGTTTACTGTTCGAGTTCGCTGCCACACGGGTCTATCATCTAAATAGGAACCAATTACCCATAGAAATTTTCTCTGAAAGCGCTGTACTTGACAGATCGCCCACGTGTTACGTTACCCGTTACCACATTCTATCAAACAAAACTCAAATTATTGGAATATGCTAAGTATACCCTTCAAAAATTAATGTTTTTATCGTGTTTTGAAGAGGTTTTAAAAAAATTTTTAAAATAAGACAGTCAAGGAAAACTCAATTTGTAAATTAGTTTCGACTGCTAATGTCTAGATCTAAACGTCCTTGACTCAGAATGTCTATTCAAAATGACAGCGTTATTTATTTGAAGTTATTGTTAAATAACCACTCTCGACATTTTCCCGGTATATATAGAGACACACTTAAAAAAACCGTTTTTAACGGGATAGAAATTTCTTAATTGATCTCGAACCATGTACAAATCAATTCCTTGTTTTATCTACAATTATCAAGAGAACTTTGTGACTGTTGGAATTTTATTCAGTCTCCTCTTTTTCGTGAAAATAATGGAAATAATTGATATATTTGTGGCTCGCCAGATTTTCCCAGTAGATATTGGAAAATACGGAAAATACGCTGTTGTAACCGGTGCCACGGACGGAATTGGAAAAGCACTAGCTCATCAATTAGCCAAGAGAGGTTTGAACATCGTTTTGATTGCTAGAAACGAGAAAAAACTGAAAGATACAGCAGAAGAAATTCGTTCAGAAAACGTAAAAGTCTCGACAATTCGAGTGGATTTCAGTTCTGAAAAGATTTATTCTTCGATAGCTGAACGATTGAGACAATTGGATGTGGGAATTTTGATCAACAACGTAGGTCAAATATTTAATTTACCTTGTAAATTTGCTCAATTGGACTTGAGGGACTTGTTGAATTTGATCAATATCAACATGCTGTCGGTACTAATGATGTCGCGCATCTGTCTATCCGCGATGGATTCAAAGAAAAGCGGTATAATCGTGAACGTATCTTCATTATCTTGTTTAAGTCCTATGCCTTTGATGTCTGTCTACTCCGCTTCTAAATCATTTGTCACTAACTTATCTTTGGCTCTCAGTTACGAATATCGCGACCATAACGTCTTCGTTCAATGCCTTATTCCCTCCTTCGTCACCACCAAATTATCTCATTACAGCGGATTTTTAAGTACTAGAAGCATTTGGTTACCCGATGCAAATGAATATGCCTCGTCAGCCATAAAAGCAATAGCCACGTCTATTTTGACCACAGGTTATTGGTCGCATGAGCCTCAACGTATCATATTTCAAATCTGTCCTAATTGGATTAAAAATGTTATTACAACTTTTATATTCACGAAATTCGATGATAGAAGTTTGTAAATTGCAAATGATTTGTATTTTATCTTGTATTTTTCGGTAGATTTTAAATAAATATTATCATCTTGCTGTATTTTATTTATGTTATCGTTGGTATGTATTTAATGTAGGCCTAATCGTTTTTGGGATTTTTAAATCAATCTTAAATATGATTACATGAAATGACATCCACAAATAAACTCGATAAGGTCAACATCATTTGGTAGAAAAATTATGCTTATGAGCTGTTTGATTTAACAAGAACCAATTTTTCTGTTCTAAACTTGAATACAGCTACTTTACACTGCATTAGTAATTATGGAAGAAGAAAACTAATTTTATCATAACACACAACCAAGAAACTAGGCTTCTGCACTATCTATTGATTTTTTCCATGCTCATCGTAGGTTCGGTCAGACATGCAATGAAGAAGGCCAAGTGGTGAGGGACGGGGACGACTTATCCGAGACAGACTATCGCCCAAAAAATTGCTGAGAAGTTTTCGATCGTCCGGGCCACTTCAGAACAGTAACTGCAACAGTTTTTTTTAGTGGCAAATGGTTAAACCACTGAACCTGTTACGAGGTAGCGTTTCATCAATGGATGGCTGCGTTGGTTTTCCGGACTTTCTTCACTTGTCTAATATTTAAATAGGGCCCAGACGGTTAGTTTTTCCATAGAAAATCTTCCCAAGAGGCATTCCCTTCGTAGATCGTCCATGAGTTGCGTTGCCTTCTCTCATCAATCAAATCCCGGAGCAGTAGAATGACGCCTTAACAGTTTATTTAACGTTCGATCGTTGAGCTGTCATCCAACTGAAACATAAATGTTAGTTGAATGTAAATTCCTCGAATATCCGGAGTCAATATATTAGAAAAATTATATTTAATTCGGATTTTTACTGAATAAATCAAACAAAATTAACGTCATAATCATCGTGATCAATGTTAAAGTCAAAAATATGCAATGGTAATGAAGTTTTTTTTTTTTTCAATTTTGGCCCCATAGGTTCCTCATGGGCATCGAGAGGACTTTTAGTAAACCATTATGAATTCGTCCAAGCTCACAATGGGGCAAGCCGGGTGGTGAGGGACGGGGCCCAATGTATCCGGGCAGATTCCCTGAAAAGTTCTTGAGGTTTTTCGATTCGTCTTGATTAGACCCCGGATCCACCAGAGCAATAGACTGCCACTTTTACTGGTTGGCCATCCGGTTTCCATTTGGCTAGTACGAATACAGTTAAACTGCACTTTTTAAAATTATACTTAGAACTTTTTACATTCTCTGAAGTGTTTGTTTTATACACGCATACTATCAGTTATTTTATATAATGATATACAGCTCAGCCATTATTATTGTAATGTAACAAAATATAAGATGCAATGAATCATTTTCTGATTTACATTTTATTGTATTTTCTACATTTTGCTTTTTGGTAGAAAAATTTAATACATGGAACGAATGCCATTGTATTATGTCATTAGAAAAAGTGTAATTACTTCTTAAGTGAAAATATTTTGAAACTCTTTCTTCATATATTATTCAACATGACTCATTAGAACTGTAATAGTAACTCAATAACAACTTACTCGGTACAAAATTTGTCCTTGTCTCCGGGACATTTTATATGTGTACCCGTCATCTTTCATTTAAATGCAGTTTACAAAACTTATCATTTGATTAAGTCTTAATTGTCAGGAAAAAGCTTTGCTGTTCGATTAATTATTCATTTCTTATAAATATCTCGTAAGAAAATGATCTATCAGACTCAAACATTGTCTTAATATTTTTCTTGAAAATGGTCAAATAAAAAATAAATCAAATATTGGGTTAATTTTATATTCAACTGTTAATAATTTCTCTCCTAACAAAGTAAAAAAATTTATGACTTACTAAATTTTCTTAACTGTTTATTTTCATTAATTATTAAAATCATTGAATACTGGTAATTGGCATGGGTCCGGCCCTCACAAACGGGCTGGCCATGTAGAGTTTTCTTCACATCTCTAACACCTAAATATGGCCAGTTTCCCAGAGAAAGTCCTCCCGAGTTGTTCTCACTTGGAAAATCTTTCGTTGCCTTATTTCCATCAGTCTAATCTAAATTTTTCTGATCGAATTTATTCTGAATTGCTGTGTGATTGATGGGACGTCAGGACGCAGCATGTTAAACTCTTCAGCAATTTCATGCTGATTGAGAGTCACCACCACCAAATGGTTGAATTCATTCCTCTTTATTCAACACCATCTATAAAAAAATAAACAAAGATCACATATAGGGCATATGTTACGGCTAAAATCAGTAAATTGGACAATGCTAGAAGTCTAATGCTAACATTATCCAAGTAAGTCTCAAGTAGCTAACATAAAACTGACATTATCCAAGAACGGATGAATGAAGTAAAGATACTCAGAGGTGGACAAAAGAAGCAAACTACCCTGGAACCTCAGGAAACAGGAACCTTATACAATGTTTCTTCGTTTACTTTAATATGATAATTTAATTTGCTATAGGGCACTCTTGTATTTTGCACCAGGCCATCGTTACCCCCTGGGTGGTGCAAAATACTGAATGAGGCAAGATGAAAATTTAAAGTTTGAACTGTAATATATTAAGCCCGTTTTGAATAAAGCTAGGAAAAGTTTCGGTTGTACTTTAGCCGGATAATCTGCGATTTTTCCACTGCAGAATGGATGGGAGAGGGAATATTGTTTTTAATCAATTAAAATTTCTCTATCGAATAAAAATGAAGTAAACGATAAGTGTTACCAGTTACTTCACAAAAATATCACCGAATTAATATATTTTAAGCAAAAGTTTAAATGTAAATTAAAAATGTTTCGCTTTATAGTAGCATAAAGAAGTAGAATAATATCAATAAATACGATTGAAAAGGTATAAAAGATCCTTTGGTAAAACTTTTTTGTATCTTGAAACACAGCCTCAAAGGTTAGGTCGCATTGAAAAATCGTCGCCGCCTTATTGCCAAGCGCCTTGAAATCTGGCAGTAAATTGTTAGATCCATTAACATTGCCTATTCATGTAGTGACTATAAAACAAAATAGTAATGGACATAAAAATACAATATCAGTGTTCAGCCTTAGCCAAAAGACGGTACACACTCAAGATTATCCGGATAAAGCTCGAAATTTGTTTTATTCTTGTTTCATCCACCTGTTTTTGGATAAAGTTAGCATTATTCGATTCAAGGGCTTTACTATATGTATGTATATGTTACGGCTAATGATAGAGTTAGTGTTATTAATACATTTTAATGTACCGTGTATGTTTCGTTGTTTAGATAAATGTTAATAAAATATAAACAGGAAAAATTTGTATTAAAAATAATTTTTTGCCACAACTTTTCTAGTACAATTGTTATTTATGAACGGTAATTTATCTTATTAAACAAGCCTTTGTATTAAAACGATAGAATTAAATTATATTTTCTCTTTTGTTCCTTTGTTTTGCTTTTCTAACATTTGACTAGTAGTAAATGATCGATACAATCAATTTAAAATAACTTTTAAATTACTTTCGATTGCTTACCTCTTGTATGCTTTGTATTCCCTTCCGGGATCACGAGAGCACACTTATCAAAATGACATGCAAATGGTTACGCGATTATATAACCGCAGTTCTATTCAATTGAATGAATTAAGATGTGTAATTCTGTACAAGATTTAAATAAAATTAATTAATTAATAGATTTTAGAACTGAGAAAACGTATATAAAATCTTTTATACTTATATTAGACGTTTCTAGAATGTTAACTTACATCAGATGATAGTTTCAGGAAGGCACGAATAAACTCGTTGAACAATGTTAAAAGTTAGTTAACAGTAACACCTCTGAATAATGAATGACCAGTGAAGGGAACATTAAGAAATACCGCTGTTTGGTGGTTATTTTCAATGCACTTTTTGTTAAAAAAAAGGAGGGGGAGAGAAAGTCCCTGCCAAAATGGCGGTTGTTGAGAGGTTTCACTGCATATCATCTGTGAGAAATGAACTAATTTAATACATATTTTAAATTATGAATTTTATTTTTCAACTTTTGTACAATTTGCAAACATCAGTATATGACATGATTACAAATATCAATAAAAAATTGTTCAAAAAAGAATATTAATCTGTTAATCTTTATGGACGGAATTAATTGTTTCAATAATATCACAACATTGTTGGGAATGCTTTTAATAACAATACAAAATTGGTCTGAACAAAAAAAATTTGTAAATCCTACAAAAAAAACAATATACTGGAATGTAAACTTTAGCACCATTAATCAATTTTCATACATGATTAATAAACTAAACATTAACAGAACATGATTATAATCATAAAAACGAACTGCAGATACAAAATTAAAAAAAAGGAATGTAATATAATTAATATTGAGATATTTCAAACATACCTTTTGAGTAAATCATATGGACTTTCTCTTTCATTGGTACTCAGTTATGATTATGACTAATTAAATAGAATTTCAATAACCAAGAATGCAAATCGTAAATTATAAATAAGTCTCTGAAAACAATCATTACCAGGCCAGTAGGTAATGATGTATATATAAATTATATTATGCCACATTTGTATAATACAATTTTTGTAATATATGTAATATATATAATATATATATATTTTATACATATATATAATTAAGTAATCTATTAATAGAATTATAAATTTTAAATGAAATAAAATCTTTTTAATTCGTAACAATACCAAATTATGAACTGTACAACCAATCAAATGACATTAACTTATCCCTTTTTCAAATGTAATCATCAATAATACAAATTTCAAAGTACTCATTAAATATTTATGCCAATATCTTAATTATTTAATTAGGATTTTAAAATTATCAATTAAAAAAACACTGGTATTTAAAATAAATATTAACAGCAATCTACTTCATCAATAAAGATTTTGACAATGATTATTTTGTATCAATGCAGAGTTAATAATATTTTTTGTACATTAACAGGTAATTAAATCAATTAATAATTAAGACAGATATGTAGAATATATTGCAACAATAAAATAATTAGGATAAAAATTAACTCAATACTCCTTGATGTAGAATGTTAGTTAACAACATTTAAATTTATTGTTTTATTTATTTAACATTATGTAATTTACTTCAAAAATGATTGAATTTATATTTCTTATTTCTGAAAAATAGACATAGAAGCAGTACTATTTCTAGCCCTATCAACACTCCACAAAGTTTTGGTATGCCCAAGGCCTGTTAATGTATAGTGTAAATTTTGTGCCCTTCTCTTGGCATTCTGTGCAACTGCACAGTTCGATTGCACCTAGAACTGATACTGCTTCGAAGGAAAACAGGAGGAAACTGCATTAACTTTAGAGAATTTTTTGTAAAGAATTTTTAAATTTATATTAAAAAAATAATATATATATATATTATTAACAAACAAGATTTCAAAAGTGTAATTTATATTCTTCTAATTTTTTTTGTTCTTCAACTGGTAATTTAATTTTAATACCAGTGTATTTTTAAGATATTTAATACTTTTTTACAGAATTTTAAAATGCAAATAATAACTTACATATATTAAAATTCAATAAAATTATCTTATTAAAAATGAAATTGGACATAGTTAAGTATGACACATTATATTTGATAACACCAAGTGCTTATAATATAACTTATAAAAAAAATTAAGAATTTTGGAAATATTCATTCTTAAACATTATAAAGGAAGTCAAGACTTTTAAAAAAATATTTAACTTTACAGTTAGTGATGATTTAAGTACTTTAATATATGACTATCATTTATAAATAATATATTTCTCTCTCTCTATATATATAAAATTAGATCTCTATCCGTTGTTTATTTGCATTTTTTGATAATAGAATAGAAATCTTTGGTTAGACAAATATTAACTCTTCATAAAATACTTATATAAATTCTGCAAAAATTAAACATTGGAAATCAGAGGAAATTTAGAATTCCACAATAACTAATGGATGGATTGGTGAAAATTTTGTTATTATGGATTAATCCCACGACTTCTTTGGCTGGAATGTGTAATACAAATAATATTTAACAGGATTTCCTAAATGAGTCTTTCTTCTGGAGGTGGTTTCATTACGTGATTCATTTCGACTCTCGAGCCATACATTTCTTGTCTACTGGGACTGTAAGTACCGCGTGTCGCACGCTTCTTTTTTGCAACTCTCAAAAACATAATGATTGCAATCAGAATACAAAGGAGGAAAGCACAACCAACTGTGATTCCTACAACTATAGCCCAATCGACTTCAGCACCCTAGATAAGAATAATAAATTTTATTGCAAATTGTTCATTACTTTTAATGTAAACAATGACATTTATGCTTTATTATATTGTAACATATAAGAAGTAAAAATGCTTACAGTGCAAGGGCCATCTTCACATTTGCATTCATAAGCAGAATAATTTTTATCTTCATTGCCAATTGGTATACATCTTTCATTTGCATCACAAGGACTTTTCTCTTTACACATATCAACTAAACTACAGTGATTTCCATGAAACCCATTTTTACACAAGCATCTGTAAGATTCATTTTGATCTTCACAAGATCCATTATTACACAAATCCTGCTTTTCATTACATTTAACAATTCTGTTTTCACAATGAACTCCTTTATAGCCTAAAAAACCAAAATAATTCATTATATATAAATATAATCACCACCATAAAAATTTCATATTTTAGCATGATTTACCGTAATAACAATGACAATAGTACATTCCAATCCTGTCTTCACATCTTCCATTTTGACAAGGATTTGACTCGCATTCATTAATCTCATTTTCACACATTTTCCCACTATAACCGCTAGGACAAATGCAACTGAAATCAGCCAGTGACAATTCGGAGTGACAAGTTCCACCATTATGACACGGAGAACTTTCACAAAAATCTCTTTCTGTTTCACATTTTAAGCCAGTATAATTAAGTGGACAATTGCAAATAAACTAGTAAAAACAAAAATAATAGAATATTACAATATTTCACGCTTTGTATTTTAAAATAAATAATAACCTACCATTACAGAACTTTTTTCAGGATCTGTGTTAATACACGTTCCACCATTCAAACAAGGATTACTTCTACAGTCTTTAATTTTCTAATAAAGAATAAAAATTGATAAATCTCATAATTTTTGGAAAGCTGTCTAAAAAAATTTTTTTTGAAAATTATACAGATTAACAAAAAGTTTTTTCATAATATATAATTAACAAATTTCTTTATTTACTTTTCTAAACTTATAACTTACATTTTAAACAGTTGATCATTTAATACACAAATTATTATTTACTAGAATAAAGTTTCACAAAACTTACAATAATAATTTTGGGTTGATGCATAAGTTTCAAAAACAAAAAATAGTTTATTCAAGAAAATAATTGCCATTACATTCAAACACTTTCTTCCATCAATTGGACAGGTCAGATTCCTGCAGTATAAAACTAAGGCTGTTTTAACTTAAAGAACTCTGCAAGTGTGATACTCATCTCCTCATCATCAGCAAACTGCATTACATCCAAGAAGTGTTGTATGGAATGGAAGAGATAGCAGTCAGATGGTGCAACATCTGGAGTATAAAGGGGTTGAAGGAGAGCATTCCAACCAAGATCATGCAACTGTTTCTGTGGTCTTGCATTGTGTTGATAAAGCACAAACTGTTCATCTGTGACCACTTAATGTGAATGGCATCAGCCAAACATTGCAGCCCAGCACAGTCAATTTTGGAAGTTATAGTGATATTCCATGGAAGCATCTCAATGAATTGGTCTGTCAACATCCTACCAAATACACAGCATAAGCTTGCACTGACATAAGACTTCATATTGCTCAGCTTTCAATTTACTGAACCAACTGTATATTGTAAAATTGGGGATGACATTCTTGCCAAAGAATTTACCATATAACTGCTTTTATTCCAAATTAATAATCATAAAGCACACATGTTCAAATTTAGTCATGAGAATATTAGCAAACTTGACATATTTAAAAAGTTGGTATTGACACACAATCATTTATGATTGTGACCTCAACACCCTTCATTTACATATCCACAGGAAACTTCTAGATGTCATATACACAAAAGAATAAATATTTTTGTATATGTTGATGAGTATAGAAAATATATGTTGATGAGTATAGAAAATTCCAGAAACTTTTGTTTCAAACCAATAATATTTCCTTAAGTTGTTCTATTAATTTAAATTTCAATTAGTGAATTTTTAGTAACACTCCAAATTAAGTTCTTGAAAACTTATCAAAAATTTTATAATTATTGGGCTGCAGTTTTTAGATTGCAGACACATATATTCCTACTGTCATCTGTCCATTGTTAATCTCAAGAATAATTTAAATTTAAATAGATGAAAATCTTATCTAACTCCATCTGGCTCCTAAGCTTTCCTATATGGAAAGCTTAGGGACCAGAGGACTTGGTTATATGAATTTTGAAGTTATGTGAGTTTTTAAATTAAAAGATCATTAAAAATTCAGCCTGGCATTGTGATGATGTCACAATAATATACATTCAATTTTCATTATATAAATTTGAAATGTAGAATTTATTATAAACTTCTAACAATAGTTTAACCGTGTGCTGTACAGACTCAAATATTTTTATTTATTTATTTTTTTAACTACAGTTTAATGTTATTAGAATGTTTGAATTTTTTAAAACTTTAAATTTTTTATTGCTTATATTTGCATATTTTCATAAATTTCACCTTATTTGAATCTGGGGTTGCAATGAAGTCGATCACTAGTAAATACAATGGGTCAATCAATCAATATGGGGGTTGACAAATCATTAGGAGTTGTTTGGGAGTCAGTAGACAAATTTATTTTGTATCATATAATAACTTATATAAGTAAAACTCAAAATTTTGATTTATGTTTAATGAAAATTTCCAAACAATTAGAAAATTTACATGTAGCAACTAAAGAAAGATTTCCAGTTTTATCAAACCTAAGAGATTGTTTACCAACATGGTAATACCAGATCTTATTCTAGCTTTGATGATTCAACAAAAATTTTTCTAATGGGTTGGAAGATGTTAAATCATTAATCACATTCCATGGGCCTCAGTCTATGCTTTATGATAAATATGATGAAAAATGTATAGCCTAAATGATAATTTGTAATTCTATTGCATACACACATTTTTTCAAGAAGAAAGATCATCATCATAAACATAAAAAGAATGGAAAATGGTTATTTCAATATAAAATTATAGTCAACGTAAAAGTTTCTGAATACAAATATTCAATAATGAGAGTAACATTCAAGTGTATTAGAAAAATATTTTATTTCTAAAAAGTATTTTTTATGAAGATATAACCTGACAGGTGTAAAAAGTTGTTGTAAGTTAACAGATATTATATATATATATATATATTGGTAATTAGGAAATAATTATTGTTTAAATTTCAATACAGTATAAAATTTTCTGACATACTTAATAATACTAAAAATTATAATTGCTCAAAATTGATAATATAAAAATTTTGACTTGTATATTTTAAAAACTTACTGGTACTTCACACTTAGTCCCTTCATAGTCCTCAGTGCAATTACATTGAAATTCACATTTCACATTGTAACATATTCCTCCATTTTGACAAGGATTACTTTGGCAATGATCTACTTTTGTTTCACATCTAAAAAATAAGCAGTTTAAAACTTTACGTAACTTCTGTTTCAAAAATTTTTATTAATTTGTTAATGAGTATTTCATTATTATTTTTTTTTATATCGAATAGAATCACTGGAATCCTGAAAAGTATTCAAAGTTTGGCATTTTTTTGTTATCCAAATTGATCTTATATTTATATAAAATAAAATATAAACTTTCTTGTTTCATTTATGATAAATGAAACCAATTGATTAATAATCAGTTTAAATCAATTACTCAATCTTCATTATTTGATATAACAGGTGTTATTACAAAGGGGGGTTAAATAACATTGTTACATTAAAGTTAATACATAAACAAAAAATTTATATAATTTATATAATGTTAACAAGGCAAACACTGTCACTGAATAAAAATTTGATAACAAAATTCAAATGTCATTGTAGCAGCTCAAATATCTGAAAGAATATTACAAGAATCAAGAAGGTTCATCACTGTCATTCCACAAAAAGAACACTCAGCATCACATAAGACATTATTTTACCATTTAAGTTTATTGAAAACCTACTTAATCTAAATTGTGTTGCAAATGATTTTATTTTGAACTCAAATTAGATAATAAATACAGCACTGAAATCCACATTCCATTAAGAAAAGTTCCAGAGTCCAACCCCTTTCACTCAAATAATGACCAATATAAGCCTCTAAGTCATTTATGACAATCAAGAAGAAATGAACTTTCTCTTAAAAAATACATATAACTAAAGAAGGACAGTCCAATATTATTTAATAGTCCTTTAACTATAACAGGCAATGGCTTCAAAAAAATTATTATTTATCCATGAAAGTCTTGTATATATGTATATATCAATTTTTCATAATCATCATCTGATAAATCAATAAGTTTCCTCCAAAACCAAAACAGATTTATTGATAAATTAATAGTGAGGAGAGATCTTCCCAATTCCATTCTCAGTACAGGTCCTTGAGACATATCTATTAATACGAAATACCTGCTTAAAGTAGAACAAGTGTATTCCCTCAAATCTGTACACTAAAAGACCATTCCAAAGCAGAAAAGTGTAAAAAACACTTGGTCCAATCAAGAAATCAAATAATCTAAAATAATTATTTAATGAAGATGCTTTAATTTTAATAAATAATTTGATAATAATAGAGATTTTAGCTCTTGCATAAAATAAACCTTTATTTAAATGATAGGAAAATGTGGCCTGTGAAGAAAAATAAATACCTAGCGATTTTAAATCTCTAGATATTTATTTTAATTTGGCATAATTTCCAGTTTATGGTTTTCTAAACTGAACCAGTCTTGTTTTTTTTTTTTTTTTTTCTTTTAAGTTTACCACCTCTACAAAAAATCAAAAGCTACTCAACCAAACAATTGCCTGAAACAATCGAGCTTCAATCCAGTCCAATAGTTTGGTTGAGTATCTATGTATCAGGCTTCAGGATGTTTAATATATGAATTAATTGTCAATTGATAATCAGTTTAAATCAAGATTAATTTAAACTGATTATTAATCAATAAGTTATTTACTGAATGATAATTTTATTGAATAATTACAGCATTTAATGCCACTGACATTATTTGAAGTATTTGGTGAAAATAATGAATTGGCTTTTAAAATAATAAGTTACTATTTATTTAATAATTAATTTAAAAAAATTTAAGTAGAAATCATGAAGAATACTTTGCTTTTGTATTCTGCAAAAGTTAATTTATTATTTGTAATTTATTTAATCAAGTTTATCACAAATAACATACTAAAAACATTTAAACTGATCTTACCTGTCTCCTGTATAATCACATGAACAATTGCACTTAATGCCATCATCATATGTATGGTAACAGACACCATCATTCTTGCAGGGTTTTTTGTCACATTCATCATCTTGGCAATATCGACCTTCATATCCTTTTCGACAATTACATTCAAATGATTCTATTTCATTTTCACAAGATGTATTATGTTTACATTCATCTTCCCAACAAAGAATGCATCCAATATGCTCATTTTTATTATTGATGATTTGAAAATTGGATTCATTATTTGGATATTCTTTAGTTTTAAAAACTGGTAACAACAAATTATTTAATCTGACTTCATCCATGCATCCTCTAAAACCATCATTATTAAGCAATGATCCTAATATTATGTCATTAAACATTTTATTTCCATAATCATTTTTTATTTCCAATGTAAAATTAGTATCAATAAGAAGTGAGATGTTTTTATCCTTAAAAGTTACTGTCATTTTATGCCAATTTCCATCTGAAATATTATCATAAGATTCTGAAATATTAACAACTTCATTGTCAAAAGTTAACCATTGCAACAAGAGAGAATTATTCAAGATTGAAATTGATAAATTGTCATTGAAATAATTAATATTCATTAAATTTCCTCCATCCAGTGTTCTATAGAGAAATGTGATATTATCTATAGATTTTAAGTCTTTTGGCTTCAAATGTATAAATGTATTCTCACGAAAAGCAACTGAAGAAACACCTGAAAAAGTAATTTAGAATAATTATAAAATAATAAATTTTATTTATTACAGTCAATTCTCTAGTGATATTTAGCAGAACTTAAATAAATATTGTAGTAGAGAGATTTATTGTTATAATGAGAATTTTTATAAAAACCATCCCCTTCCTCAATTAACATTGTTGGATTACAAATAAGGTGGTTATTTCTACAAAGTTTTAAAACTATTAGAACAGAAAAACATGTATTACTAATTTCCTCTACTACAATATTTAAGTGATTTAATAAATTTTAAAAAATTAAATAGAAAAAATTTTAATGTGAATTGTATTACAGTAGTATACACAGGTCTGACAACCTTCTAAATAATTCTTCTCTGAAAATTATTATATTGAGGGAAAGAATTACCAAAAAATTACCATATTTTAAAATATAAATTTAAGTAAGATTATCTAATTACATCAATTTTAAGTTGTTTGTAAGTTTAAAGATAAAATTGCTAGTTAAAATCAGCAAATAAATTATTTTTCAACTGATGTTTTAAAATCAGATAACCTAAAGGTTATCCATATGAAATTATAGTATATGCTATGTCTTAAGATCAAATTTGATCTCTCCCAATGACAAAAAATTCATGTTTTAGTTTACTACTTCATGTCAATGTAATATTTATTGTCTTTATATTATGCAATAGATTTTTTGTCACATGTTATGATAAAACTAGAAACACAAAATAAATAATAACAAATAACATAATTTACTTACATTGATAACCTTCATTCATATTATGACATCTTGAACCTGAAGGGCATTGTGTTTCATTTAAAGAACATGGCTGTCGTTCAGAACAATTTTCACCTCTGAAATCTTCTGTGCATACACATCTGTAAATAATTTAGCAAATTAATAAATATTCAAATTAAGCAATAATGAAATCTGAAATAAATTAAGGTCAGATCTAAATATAAATTAATCTTTAAATAGCAACAGAAAAAACTTAAAATTGGCATTATAACTAAATCTACATGAACTATTAATTATCATTAATAAAACAGAATTTACAAATGAACAAAATCATTAATAAAACAGAATTTACAAATGAACAAAATCATTAATAAAACAGAATTTACAAATGAACAAAATCATTAATAAAACAGAATTTACAAATGAACAAAATCATTAATAAAACAGAATTTACAAATGAATTTCCTTATAATGAAAAGTCTTTGAAAAACACACAAAAAATTTAGTAAACAAATAGTGAAAACAGTGTACTGTAATGTTTCTCTTTTAACTTAGCTGATCTCTTAAGCTAATAGCAGTCAGTTAGTTGAGCGGATATCAAAATTTGTGTAATAAATAAAAGCTTAAGAACTACAATTTATCACAAACATACATACATTCTCCTCTTTATACCAGTACAGTCATTCTTTATTCAATACTCTGGCTTCCACACATCAGTCTAATTTTGTCACCACCAGAATGCATGTTAACAAAGAAGACTGTGTAGTTTTAAGTTTTGAACCATACCTGCATAAACTTTACAGTAAGATTGCTAGGGATTTAAATTTGATGTTAGCATATAAGAGAAAACCCAACATTTTCCACCTCTTATCTAATGCAAAGAATAACATGAAAGATGCTAAAGCACTGGGTGTATACCTTATCCTATTACAAGATGAACAGTTTAACATATAATTGTTGTATTGTACAGTACAGTCGACCCTCTATAATGCGGTAGATACGTTCTGCTTTATAAGAATTTCACGTTGTAGGAATCCTCAAATACATGAGCCAATCACAGTCCAGCATATATGCAGTTTATGGACTACAGCTGTTTGAAAGGTTTTCTTCTATAAAATTATTCGATTCTAGACTAATTTCACTCAACATTTCCAAAATACGTATAATTTTTTCGGAATCTGTATAAACTATGCTATAAACAAAAAATTGTAGGATTACTTACCGAGTGTGCACCGTTCGACCACACCATTGCTTAAGCTTGTTTTTGTCGCAGAGCAGCGCACCAAACAGCGGCCGCGATTTCTGATAAGTTATTTTTCTGTGAAAAATTCATTCACCTTTGGAGACATCATTAATATAAATAATTTTTATGGCCGTTGAATAAGAAATGCTTCTTTCACAAGAAATGTATAAAATTAGTGCTGTATTAGACTTACGGTACCTAATTTACATACTGTACAGACAATAGTAAACTCAACTTACCACCTAAACTTTCTGTAGCATGTAAGTAGTTCGGCTGCTCGTCCACTATTGGTCCAGATTCGACCAATCCTGTCGCGACACGAGTTGGCGATGATGTTTTACTGCATTTTAAGAGTCTCTTTTAACATCTTTATACGAATACGGTCGCAATTTTTTCACTGTGATGTACGAATCTGCATTATATGAACCTGCATTATAGGGGGTCTACTGTACATAGGATCTACACACAAATCCTGCAAGCCAGAATACGTGACCACAATTACTACATGGCCATGGAAAATTTCAACATTTGGCGTATGTACATTTTGTGCTGAACCTGAGGTTAATTATGTAGCTTCATCCCTGCTGGGATGAAACTACACTTTTACACAAGGTCTTTGACCAACATGACTTACAATCATTTGAAGCATTAGAAATCTATATAGTTGAGAAGAAAGGATGCCGCATTAACTCTGACAGCATCACAGTACTGCAAGCATGGAAATATTTTATAGATTCACACAGAATTTATTGTTTTTAATTTTATTATTTAATATAACACCATGTAAAGAATTAAATCATTGAAAGTCTTTCTTTTATTTTTATGCTTTAAACTCTGCATCATGACATGTATCAAACATATTTTTGAATATTTAAAATTGCTATTTTAAACATGAAAGTATTCTCCATCGAATGATAGAACTGTTTTTTTATTTGCTTTATTTTCTGATGAGGGCCTCTAAATAGCGGCTGAAAATGTTAGAACTTTACAGTTATTTGCTGGAAATCACATATAGGTGTTATTTTTATATACATACAATAGAATATATTTATTTTCATCACTTTGGAACTTTGTTAATTTATCATTAAACAACTGATAATGTCTGCAGTTACAATAAGCAGATTCTAATATTGTATTTTATTATTCCATTACTCTATAATGTGGATGATTTAAGATTTATTAACCTAAGACTAAAGAATTGAAACCAGAAACTAACAATCCATTCTCATTTTTTAAATTTTATGTTCTCTCCAAAATGCCCCCCTTCAGTTATTCCAACTGAATTCAGTTATTCCAACTGAATCAAACAATTTTTTTAGTTGATCCAAACAATTATAATTTTGGCAATAAAATATTATTATATTTTCTATTATATAGTTCATCACTTGAATCATGCAAAAGTATTTTATTTTACCATTAATACAAATTTAATTAAATGATACTTGGAATATGATGACTCCACATGATTAAACTGATTAGCAAAACAACCACTTAGGTTTTCAAGAGACCAAGAAATATAGTCTATTAAATGAATGATTAATGTTTTCAGAATGTTCATCGTTCAATCATAAGGATGTAATTTAATGAACTTTTGAATTGCAGCATTTTTAAAGAAATTATTCCTATAATTTGAACATTCATTAAACTACAATAGTCTGATGATAGACTGACGAACCTTCTGAAAACATTAATCTTTAATTTAATAAAAAATATTTTCCATCTTCTTGAAATTCTGAATGTTTTGTTAATTAAGTTACATTTTATTTTATTATCATTAATGGAATTGGAATTTCAAATTGTTAAAACAAAATCAATGCTTTACTGAAACAGATTTCATAAATTACTTTCATTATATTAATTATTCTTAAAGATAATGTTATTTTATTATTGATAATTAAATTTACAAATACAAAATCTTATTAAGCAAGTTTTAGAATTACAAGATAAAAGTTTTATCAAAAGCAATCAATAATAAAAAGTCAAGAAGTATTTAAATAAATATTTTCTTACTGATAAGCATTCCAAATATCTTTACAAGTACCACCATTCTCACAAGGATAAATAAATTCACATGGTTCATCTGATATTACACCTTTAATTACATTTTCCATATGCACTTTCCCAAGGGTTTCGGGAAATCCAACTGTATCTGAAGAATTAGTTGGCAAATCAAAGAAAACGACAACTTTTTCATTCACCTATAAATTTTATAGCAAATGTAGTTCAATAATGAATTAAAATACTGTTAATCAAACTCTGTATACTAAAATTTCTTCTACATTAAAATTATTTGAATTTTTTTATATAAAATAGAGTAAGATTGCAACATTATATGTAAAAATCCTTAAATGTAAAATATTGTTAATTTTTAAATTCCATTCAAAAATTATTATTATTTTTAACATATATTCATTAGAATAAAATATTATTTCTAAACAATTTTATTGATAATTTGTGAAAAATGGAACTATTTACTGAATTTATGTAAATATTACAATTGCTACTTGTTTTAATTACTTCAAATATCCAACAAAACAGCCAGAGTCTTTTATTAAACTATTGAGGCTAAATAATTACCAAATAATTTGGTAAAAGTTAGACATTTAAGTTTACAAAACAGGAAAAAGCTTAAAAAAAATAGGAATTTCAAACCACGAATAAAAATTATTGCTTAGAACAAAACCAGAAAAATCACATGATTATAAATAATAGGTATGTGTGTTAACTGTATTACTATATTTAAAACGATCATAAATTATTAAATATTTACCCTCATGTCACTAATTATTCCTTTAAAAAATCCTGTATTAGTACCAGAATATATACTAAAGCCATTATCTCTCGAATGAATTGTAGTTAAATCATTAGTCGTATCAAAAACTTCACGTTTCTGTCTTCGACAATTAGAATATGATCCAATATACAAAATATTAGCTTCAAGACGTGCAGTTTCATTAATAGAGACAACTTCTCCACTTTGTGTATCATTTATGTAAGCAACTAATGCTGAGCTATTCCTAACAATCTAAAACAAAATTTTCATTAAACATTTAGTTTTGTTAATAATAAATAACATCAAAAGTTACTTTTAAAAATAATGTATCAACTTACTTGTAATAAATAATATTCACCGTCATCAAATTTCCTCGGAATAGTAATAATATTTTTTGAAGAAATACCTTTAACTTTTAATGTAATATGAAGTTTGCTACTTTTAAGGAAGGCTTCTAAATAAGAATTTTGTGTCTCGTCCAAAGAATTGGTTATAAAGTATGACGAATTTGATTGAGAAGAACCTAAATGAAATAATAATCCATTGTCCTTTCTGGTTCTAAATATAAGGCTCACATTAACTTGATATTCCATAGATTTGGTATCGTTTTCATTAATTTGGAGACTAGCACAACCATGAGAATTATTAGGACTAAATGTTACAGGAGTATAACCTATAATAATAAATTTCAAATTTAAATGACATGTATCAAACATATTTTTGAATATTTAAAATTGCTATTTTAAACATGAAAGTATTCTCCATCGAATGATAGAACTGTTTTTTTATTTGCTTTATTTTCTGATGAGGGCCTCTAAATAGCGGCTGAAAATGTTAGAACTTTACAGTTATTTGCTGGAAATCACATATAGGTGTTATTTTTATATACATACAATAGAATATATTTATTTTCATCACTTTGGAACTTTGTTAATTTATCATTAAACAACTGATAATGTCTGCAGTTACAATAAGCAGATTCTAATATTGTATTTTATTATTCCATTACTCTATAATGTGGATGATTTAAGATTTATTAACCTAAGACTAAAGAATTGAAACCAGAAACTAACAATCCATTCTCATTTTTTAAATTTTATGTTCTCTCCAAAATGCCCCCCTTCAGTTATAATACAAANGTCAATTTAACAGTGAGAGCAGATTATGAGATGGTATGAATTATCTACTGATTTTAACTTGCAATTATAAACTCATTCAACAGATTTTCATTTGTCTAAACTTACTAGTGGTAATTTTTAAAAACCACAACTGCACACACATCTTTCTTGCCTTATCTTCACTTATCATTCATTTATTTTCTGTAAGCTAATTCAAGTTTTAATTGATATTAGACACTCAAATTTGTATCTTGAAAGTTGATAACTTTATAGTTAGGGCAATCATAATCACATGATCACACTGCTATCTTGAACTTGTCTCGACCCCAGGCAGCTCTCCAAATATCAAGTATTCTACAAATATTATCGATACTAAAAGCTTTTCCTACTTAAATTTTCTTTATATTATTTTAGCATTTACTGTTATCATCTTTTGATAAAAATGAAAATGAAGTAAAATGATAAAAAAATTTTTACTAGTCAGCAGCCATTTGTTTTTTCATCACGTATGAAGCATTCTCTCTCAAATATTCCATTTCAGTTATAATATAATTGCATCTATAGTAAATTGCTACGTAAATTAAATGAAAAAAAGAAGAAGAAATGTTTGACATGATATTTTCTAAAATGTATACTAAAAATTGTCATGTTTTTGATGAATATTGCTGAGATCAAGTAGAATAAAAGTTTTATTTCCATTCTATCTACTTTTTTCTTTGAGATATTTGCTGGCATGGGTTATACATGAGTTATCTACAGGAAATTATGATATTCAACAAGACTAAATTGTTTTATTTACTTTTTAGTGAGATAGCTAATACCACACTAAATAACATAACATAACACTAAATAAAAGCACAAAGCTAAATAGAAGTAAAAATGATAAGACTCAGATATTAATTTTAATTACAGCTATATATTTTTGTAATTTTATAATGTATTTATAGCAATTTTGTTTTTGTAGATCAATGCATATTAAAAAATACTTTCCAGGATAATAGAATAAAATTAACCATTATTCTAAGGAATAAATTATACTATAGAATTAAGTAGTTCATTTAAAGAAAATTAAACATGAAAAATTTTAAAAATCCTACAGAAAATAAGTAGAGACAGACTGTTTTATGTAACTCCAACATATGTAGATCTGGACTTACATAAAATAATTTCTGATGAGTGCAAAAAACAAATCTACAAAATTTTACAAAACAAACCAATAATATAAAACACTACAAATTGTGAGAAAATATGTTAAGCTGTGGCCTGTGAAAATTCAAAGCTGTCTGTATGGTGTATTTTTCTTACTTAGTTTACATAAGTTACATATGTTAACTGCTGCATTTGTAAGATACTTAATAAAACATGGTCCAAGTTACATAAAAAAACTGATATACACATATGGTTGGGAAGTAATTCATTCACCTGCATCAGAGACTTTCTATAAATAAAGATTTCAAAATGTGACCATAGGGTCGGGACCTCTTTGGCGCCCTGTCAGGATGACACCACCGAGTCTCTAGGGGACTCGGAAATCGCGACGTTAAGTCTAAAGATTCGCGAGCGGTAGCGGGTGAGCGATTGGATTTGGAGTAGAGGTGAGGAGAGAGACGAGGAAGTAACTTACTCGGACTCCATAGTAACAAATAAATAACAATTTTAATTAAATCGAACTAAATACTATACAGAGATATCGGGCATATTATCGTTAGGCTTGTTGAAGATCAATTAGTTTACAACTTAGATATAAAAAATATATATATATATCGTAGTATGGATATTCAAACACTTAATTTAAAATTTGTAAAAATACAACTTTTTAAAACATAATTTCATTAAAAGCATGTGATATTGTGCACCAAACATTTTTAAATAGCAAAGTATCATTAAAAAATATCAAAGCTGTTAGTCTTCAGTGTTCTTGTTTTTAATGATAGTTTTTAAAGGTTGTCTATTGTATTTTTAAAAATTTTTAAAAAATTGCACTTTTAGTTTTATGATTTTTCAAACTTCTTAAGCTTTTAATATTCAAAACACATAAGATACATTGAATATGTGACAAAGTCATAAAAATTTATTAAAGGATAAAGAGATGCTTATCAATTCCTGTTTCTTTTTCCACTCACTTTCTTTTTACTTGTATATCCAATGAAACTTATGCAGTAGTTTCTACTAAAAGCCACACTCAACAAGAGATATTTTTTCATACAGGGATATGCATTTTGAGCATTTTTTTTGCCCCTCTTCAGTCCAATTTCTTAAAGAGTACTTCTTGTTGAGTGTGACTACTGAAAAAACAACTATGTAAGTTTCACTGAATACAATTATCAACTCCATTTTCAGATTCTTGCTCTGAACAAAGAAGTAAAAATTTAAACAAATTTTAAAATTTGTCTAAATAACAAGAACTTATTATTAACATATCTTACATGTTTTGAATAAAATATACTTATTTCCAATAAGAAAAATAAAATTCAATAAAAGTTTTAAAAATTTACTCACTGTACTTGCATCTAACTCCAAAAAATGATCGTTGACATTTACAAAAGTATACATTCCACTTGTCACTGCACTGACCATTATTCTCACATGTATCTTCATAACATTGTTTCGATCGATTACAGCCAATTTTTCCACCTGATAAATCATAACTTTTATCATCTGGTATGAAAATTCTGTCATTGAGTTTCACTTCTCTAATGCAACCAATAAAATTTGGTATATCTGATGAATTATTTGGTGGTTGAATTATTCCTGGCATCTGACCTCCAAGAATTATTGAATGAAAATTCAAAGAATTCTTAAAGGCAAGCTGTTCTTCATCGTCATTTACATTAAATATAATAACTGAAGGAGTTAAACTTACTGTTACATTCTTCCATTTGGCATCATTAATATACATATTGGCAATGAATAAACTATTAAAATAATGAGTATTATTATATATATCAAGTTGTATTGCACCATTATTTAAATAAACAATGTAAGATGCATGATCAGTTGATACTTTAGCAAGTAAACCTGTTGGTAATGTTGTTCTAAATTGAAATGTTAGGTTATAAGACATTGTGTCATTTACAGTAACTGGTAATTTCCAATATGTTGGAATATTTGCTCTTGCAACTGTACTAAATTGCTGAAGTGACTCAAATGACACAGTTGTTATAATATTACAATACTTTCCATAAAATCCCAATGGACATTCACACAAATATTTATGATTGTTGTTATCATCAAGATATGCAATACATTTAGCATCGTTTTCACATTTATTATTAATACAACCGAGTAATTCAATATCACAATTCTTTCCACCATATCTAGAAGGACATTCACATTTGTAGTCAGCAATAAGATCAGTGCAGACGGCATCATTTTTGCACGGTGAGAATTTCAAACACTCATTTATTTCAACATCACAATACATTCCTTCAAAACCAGGTAAGCACTGACAGTGATAACCATTAACTTCATCAATGCAAGTTCCATTTACACATTTATTATCTTCACATTCATTTATATCAACTTCACAATTTTGACCAGTGAATCCTTGAGGACAAAAACAGCGATATCCACTAGCATTTTCATAAGAAAATCCAGAAAAAAAGCCAAGATAATTTGTTTCATAAAGTGTTTGATTAGAATTTTCAAGGCAAAGTGCACTGTTATAACAAGGATTAGGATCACAATCAGGAAAATCAATCTCACAGTTTCTGCCATTAAAGCCAGGATAACAATTACAATGATAATTTTTTATTTCATCTATACAAGTCGCACCATGCTGACAAGGAGAAGATTCACAATCATCAATATTTATTTCACACAAACTTCCAGTATAGCCTGTTTCAGAGCAATTGCAAGAAAACCTGAAAAGTTTGGAAATCATTATTTCAAAAGTTGTGTATATGAAGAAAATTAACAATTAAATAATCCAAACTTCTAGACTAATTACCAGTATATGCATACATCACTGCTAAACCTTTACTTCCGGTAAGATATAATAGATAAAACAAACAAACGTTTTTGATCTTATCCAAGATCTGCTTCAGGTTCTTGGGTCAATAAAGTTCCAATTATGGAATGCTAAGATTCGAACATTTTGAAATTCAAACTTTTTAACAAATTTGGAATTAATAACACTGATTTGAAATAATATAATAAATTAATATATACAAAAAATAGACAGACATTCCCGATCTTTTCTTATTAATGTGGAACCATCTCCACAGGGGAATAATAAGTGTTGATTGTGACTATGGTTGGTATTGCTCCTCACATGCATATTGCCAAGCATATGATATTGAGTTACTGTCTTTGAAATTAATACACTTCCCCATCCAGCTAGCTTTGTATATCTCCAGGTTTCTAGGGCCCTAATGTGATCAGTCCGGAATGATCTTTTCATAAGCCTGATGTTTCGTAGGTCAGCCTGCACCTCAGTGTCAGTTATATAGGTGGACAAGGTGGTGGAGTGCCTTTTATCAATATTGTACTTGTGTTCCATGATCAGGGACCACAGGTTCCAGAGGGATTTGGTCTACATAGAGTTGACCAAACAGTACACAAAAGAATCATGGAACACAAGTACGATATCGATAAAAGGCACTCCACCACCTTGTCTACCTACATAACTGACCCTGAGGTGCAGGCTAACCACATTAGGGCCCTAGAAACCCTGGAGATATACAAAGCTAGCCAGACAGGGGTGTATTAATTTCAAGGACAGTAACTTGATATCATATGCTTGGCGATATGCATGTGGAGGAGCAATACTAATAATATTCACAATCAATGCTTATTATTCCCCTTTGGAGATGGTCCCACATTAATAAGAAAACATCGGAGACGTCTGTCTATTTTTTGTATATATTAATTTATTATATTATTTCAAATCAGTGTTCTTAATTCCAAATTTGTTAAAAAGTTTGTATTTCAAAATGTTCGAATCTTAGCATTCCATAATTGGAACTCTATTGACCCAAAAACCTGAAGCAGATCTTGGATAAGATCAAAAATGTTTGTTTGTTTTATCTATTATATCTTACCGGAAGTAAAGGTTTAGCAGTGGTGTAATAAAATAATCATTAAAAATATTGTTAAAATTAAGTCTGTGTTCAGACAGTCTCTTCTTATATAATGTAACATAAGAAAAATACAGTCTAATAATGATTTTAGATAATTTAGTAAAAATAAGCTGTAATAAGATATTAAAAATTGAGAAAATTTCAATATACTTTAATATAATTCAATTAATTATTTATCTATTAAAATTATACTCAAGAATATAAAAAATTAGATTTGAAAGTTAAAAATTTATTAAAATTTTCTAATTCATAACAAAATATACATTTTTAATTAATGTAAGAAATCATTAAATTTTATTAAAGCAAAAATAAAACAAAATTATATAATTGAAAAATATACATAATGTCCCATGGTCTAGAACTACAGGAGTTATGTTGATCTTTGTTTATTCAATTACATACCTCAAAGTCTGTTACCAGTGTAAAATTAACATTAAAAAACAAAAAATTAGATTTCCACAAACATTTTTGAACCTTCCAAATGGTTCTTCTTTGGGTAAACATATTCAAATTTCGAATACAGTAAAGCGTCGATTATCTGAATCAATTGGGGACTGGGGTTGTTCAGATAACTGATATTTCGAATAATCGATTATGTACGAAACAATAGTTTAACATATCCGATGTTGAAATTTTTCTCCATTGCGTTTTGCTTTGTGTTGAATTTTCGTCGATGTTAAGCCTAACAAAGACTATCATATCATTAAAAATTATTTTTTTATTTTGTACAAACAAAATAAATATATTTAAAAATATAAAAACAATAAAAAATTATACTTCAGAAGTTAATTTAGTATCAAAAATGTAAAATATTTGAGTAGCCAAAGATATAGCCAAAGATTGCAGTGTCACAGCACTGGCGAAAATTTAAATTTGCCGACTGGAATTCTTTCAGATAATCAACGCTTTACTGTAATGTTTTTTCTTTTTTAATGGCGTTCTAAAGGAAATTCATCGCCGCCTGAAGAAGAACCATTTGGAAGGTTTGAAAACATTTGTGGACATCCAATTTTTCATTTTTTAATGTTAATTTCACATTGGTAACAGGCTTTGAGGTACATAATTAACTTTACTCTGGTGTTTGGTAGTGTGGCTTTATTCTTTTACACAATGCATGACACCGAGTACACAGGAACAAATTCAAGTCATTTTGATAGTAGGTCCTACAGTCTGTATGAAATTACCAAAGAGTTTAACAGGCTGATCAGACCATATTGTAATCTGATCTGTTTGTCTCCTATGATTCCAAATTTATGGGACAGTCTTTATATCTAACAGAAACAATAAGAAAATTAAGACATGAGAGTCAAAACAAAAATAATAATGAAGAATTATAAGTAGCCTAAATGATATTTACAATTCATCTAAAATAATTTAATTTTATTAATTATTATTAATTTACATTTCTGTAATTATATATAATGATTAGTTCTATGATCTAGAACACAAAATCAAAAATAATTTTATAGCCTTTTTTTTAGTTCCTTTTTAATCAGTGAATTGCTGGAAAGTGAGAAGAAAGTGTGAATTTCAGCATTTAGAAAATAGTTCCAACTTTAGAATTAACAAATATATTTTATACCCTTTAAAATCACCATAAAGGGCAAAAGGGTAAAAAATCTTTTACTGCATAATTTAAAAAATTAATTATAAAATAAAATATTTTCCTTAAATTTTATAAATGTAGCATTAATTAAAAGTTTTACTTACTCATTTATTAAATCAATGCATTGTCCATTTACACAAGGTGAAGATTCACATTCATCAATGTTGATTTCACAATTCACTCCAGTAAAACCAAGCAAACATTTACATTTATAAGTATTTATCCTATCTTGGCAAGTACCACCATGCAAACAAGGTTGATTTTGACATTCATCAATATCCATTTCACAATGCCTTCCTGTAAATCCTGGTATACAAGCACATCGATAATCATTTATGTCATCCCAACAAGTGCCATTATTTTGACAGGGAATAGATAAACATTCATTAAATTCTATGTGACACTGATCTCCTGTGAAGCCAGGTGTACAATAACAATGATACGATCCAAAAGAATTTTGGCATATCCCATTTCTACAAGGTAATAGTGAACATTCATCAATATCAACGTCACAGTTCTTTCCAGTAACACCATTCGGACAAATACACGTATAACTTCCAATATTGTCTTGGCATGTTCCATTTATACAAGGATTACTTAAACATTCATTAATATTTGTTGAACAGTCAGGTCCAGTAAAACCAACAGGACACCTGTTTAAAAAAATAAATATATTATTTATTTGCTTGAATAAAAAAATACATGAAAACTTTACTTCAGAACTTTAGTTTTTACTAAATATTTAATATTAAAGCAATAATTTGTCACACTGAAAACTAGATATTGTCTATATTTAACACACATTACACCCATGAATTTGACAAAATAAAGTGCCATTGGTATATGAAAAATTAACAAACATTTAAATACTTTTGTATGATTTATTATGCACTATACTTAATATATTCTGAATGATTAAGTTCATTTGACCCCTTGAAGTATATGAAATTTCAGTCAGCACTTAATATGTTTAACATTAGTACATGTTTAATTAAAATACTATAATACTTCATAATTTAAGCTTAATGAGGAAAAGTAATAAATTACACAATGAATAAAAAAATATGCAAGATTAATTAAAACTATATTTAGTAATTTTTACAATGTATTTAATGATTTAAATGAAGTGAATAGCATGTATTGTACATTCTTCTTTAACTGCACTTAATTAACACTCAAGCATCAACACACAAAAACCTTTATAATGCAGCCTTTTAATTCAAAATTTATTAAAATACATAAAAGAAATGCAACGCCAGACTGCCTATCCACATGCTCTGGAGCAACTACAAGCAAGAGCCAAATGCTTTTCTAACACACCTGTTGCAAAACAACTCGGAATGAAGATGACAGTAGTCGCTTCTCCATCAGTTCCTAGATTATTCGGTTTTGCAAAACACACAAAACCGAAATTTATTTGTTTGATTACAAAATTTAGCAATAAGAGCATTAATTTCACTTATACGATATCCCTGTTGCACAGCTATTGTACGTATGTAAGATGAAATGATAAGAAGAAAGGAAACCGTGATAATAGGACAGGAGTTTATTCTATTCCTTTAGGTGACTGCCATTTTAAGTCCACCTCAATCAAACTAGAGCCCTGTTTTTGCTAACTGAGAGACTTCCTAATGAGCAAGATAAGGAAATGCAATAAATATGAAAGAACAAATACTAGAATCTTGCTACATATTCTTCGATCTTTAACTTTAATAGAATTGCATACACAAACATTAGAAAAGTGGCAATGGGAAGACCTATTGAGGAACATTATGCGAGATGGCCCTAAGGACTTTAGAGAAAGCAATATCACTGAAATATGCAGCACACATTGTAGTATATGCACGCTATATTAACAATGTCTTGATTATATGGAAAGAAAAACCAGACATTCAACAATTATCAGATACGTTGATTCCAACAAGTTTGGCCTAAGGCTCGAAATAGAGCAAGAGAATGACAAAAGTATGCATTTTCTAGACTTATCAATATAAGTAGAGAAAGGAGGGGAAATCAGCACAAATTTACAGAAAGACGACATATAATCCACTGTTTATACCATGGAACTCCCATGACCCAACAAGCCATAAAATAGCAGCGTTCTGGGCACTTATAAAGAGAGCTTACACACACTGCAGCAAACCACAAGACAGAATTAAAGAATTAGATCACATCAAAGAACTAGCTAGGCCATGTGGTATCTACCAGAATATGATAAAGGCCATTATTAACAAAATAAAATAACTTACTGGAATATAAATATTTAAAATAATCAAACACCTTAGTATTTCCAGCAACGAAGTATTTAATAAAAATAAAAACGTTTTCGACTATATTTAATAGTCTTCTTCAGTTAAGCCACTTTAAAAAAAAACGAACGTAAAATAGAACGCAAGCAATACAACAGTTACAACAAAATAAAAATAAAATAAAACGTAAAAACAAAATTAAATTACAATAAAATATTAAGAAAATTAATCGTGGTAAAGAATAAAATTAAATAAAGTATTAAGAAAATTAATCGTCGTGGTAAAAAGATTTCCATGCGAAAGATAGGCTTTCTGCGTCTCTATGGTTGATGCATCCTTTGTTAATATGGGCCTTGTAAATTTCAAGTTTTTCAATATGTTTAAGTACTTGTTTGTTGGTGGCTGTCCTAATTATGGATGCTTTGTCCCAATGTACATTAATATCTTGATGTTTAGCAAAGGCTGCGAGGACGGTGCTGTCCACGTTTTTAGTAATAGAATACTTAGTTCTTTAAGCCTCTGTTTTAAACTCCTGTCCTGTCCTATTGTCATGGTTTCCTTTCTTCTTATCATTTTGTAAAATTCTATAAATCGTAGGATTACGACAATAAATAACTCTTAAATTATTCTTGTGAGATAATTTTTTAATCATCGATTGCAGGAAAGGTATATAGTTGAGAACTACTCTTCGTCCTTGATTCTTAGTTGTAGGTTGCTTATTTGTTTGATTACAAAATTTAGCAATAAGAGCATTAATTTCACTTATACGATATCCCTGTTGCACAGCTATTGTACGTATGTAAGATGAAATGATAAGAAGAAAGGAAACCGTGATAATAGGACAGGAGTTTATTCTATTCCTTTAGGTGACTGCCATTTTAATTCAGATCTCATTTACATTGGTGCCACTACAAGACCTTTAAAACAGAGGCTTAAAGAACATAAGTATCCTATTACTAAAAACGTGGATAGCACCGTCCTTGCAGCCTTCGCTAAACATCAAGATATTAATGTACATTGGGACAAAGCATCCATAATTAGGACAGCCACCAACAAACAAGTACTTAAACATATTGAAAAACTTGAAATTTACAAGGCCCATATTAACAAAGGATGCATCAACCATAGAGACGCAGAAAGTCTATCTTTCGCATGGAAATCTTTTTACCATGACGATTAATTTTCTTAATACTTTATTTAATTTAATTCTTTACCACGATTAATTTTCTTAATATTTTATTGTAATTTAATTTTGTTTTTACGTTTTATTTTATTTTTATTTTGTTGTAACCGTTGTATTGCTTGCGTTCTATTTTACGTTCGTTTTTTTTTTAAAGTGGCTTAACTGAAGAAGACTATTAAATATAGTCGAAAACGTTTTTATTTTTATTAAATACTTCGTTGCTGGAAATACTAAGGTGTTTAATTATTTTAATTATTAACAAAACAAGAATAGATGATAAAGAAGGTAATAAGTGGGAAAGAATAAAAAAATACACTGTAATGGAATACATAGCACCTCTAAGCAATATTTACAAAGAAATAGGGACAGCAACAAACAAAAAAATAATTTTTAAAAGGAATCCCACAGTATACCAAATGCTAGACATAGACAAGGAAGACATAGACCAGAGCTTGATTCCAGAAATATATAGAATATCAGTACAAGACGAAAGGCAACAAAAAGAGCTATACTACATCAGAGCCACACGGAGATCTTTAAAAGAAAGACACTGCACTAGCAACATACGTTATAGCAGACCCAACAGAAGTCACTGTGGATTGGGAAAGGGCTAAAATAATACAAAAGATTCAAGACAAAAGGCACTTGAAATATGCTGAAGCATGACAGATATATAAGACATACCAGGAAGGATTAGCAATAAATTTTTGAGAGTCCAGTAAAATCTCAGCAGCTTGGAGAGTAAGCTTAATCTGAATATTCTATTATAAAATAAAGGGATGAGCAATTAAAGAAGCACTATGGTGTTCTTTATATTAACAATGGTTTTATGTATTTGACTGTATTTATTTACATATTTATTTACTTTTTATTTTATTTTAGCTAGTTATTTATTCATGTATTTATTTATATTTTTTGTGTATGTTGGTACAAGTACCAATATAGTTTGTAATTATTTATATATGAGCATGCACACTAGACATATAAGAAAATTCAAAAAGTTCAAGAACAAATTACCAGTTTTGAAATCAGAATCATTCGATTGTTCTGTTTTCCACTATTTTGAAAAGTCTTCATCAGGGCTTTTCAAAATGGCGGAAAATGTTAGTAAATTTTGAATTAAAAGGCTGCATTATAAAGGTTTTTGTATGTCAATGCTTGAGAATAGCATGTACAACCATAAAGTCCTCATTTAATGAAAAGTAATAAATTTGTAACTAATTATTTTATAAATATTATAACATAATACAAAAATATGAATAGTTATGAATTAATAAAGTAGAATGAAATAGTACTCCACAAATAAATATACAGTATTAAAACATATGAGATTATTATATGAATATTTTCTGATCATTAAATATAAAAATTAATTTAAATTGATCAATTGCTTTATGTCTAAAAGTTGAGATAGAGCAGTAATAAATACTTTTGTATTTCAAAAATGTATCCTTAAAACAGAAGAATAGTCCAAAGTGATCCAAATTTATTTATATAATAAAACAAAAGTACTGTAGTAATATCATTACCTGCATTCATATGAATTTATAAGGTCAACACATTCCTGCCCAAATGGACAATTTACTCCTTCACATTCATTAATATTTGTTTCACAGTGACTACCAGTAAAGCCTTCTTGACAGCTGCAGGAAAAATCAGTCGATGGCATCCTTGTATGGCAAATGCCATCATTCATGCAAGGTGCTGATGCACAGGCATTGAAGATTTCAGAACAGAATTTTCCCATGTATGTAGGCAAACAGATACATTTAAAATCATTAATATCATCCTCACAAACTCCACCATTCTGGCAAGGATTGGATTCGCATTCATTGATATTAATTTCACATTGCAGACCTATAAAATTATTATTTAAACTATATTATTAAATCAATTTATTTATTTATAAAATTCATTATTTCAAATAATATTTTTCAGATTTTAAGATTTATGTATCTCAATTTTTGCAAAAGAGAATTCAATTTATAAAATTTGTATTTAAATAATTGTAAAATATAAAATTATACAAAAAACATCATCAAAATTATTAAAGTTATATGAATAGACAAAAATAAAATTAAATATTTAATTTTTTTATAAATCACATTCTATAATTTATGTCAAAAAATGTTATTTCCTATTTTATTAATGTAAAAATAAATATAGTAAATATGAAATCTTAGAAAAAAATCCATATCTTATACACAATGTTGAGATTATAAGTTAACCTGAGGTGTTCTCCCAAATATGTGACACTTTTTTCAGGAGATAATTTAATTGAATTCTCAACCTTTTTCCACCTATTTGATTGAAAAGTTAAATAAAATAAATAATAATATATGAAAATAGGACAGACTTAATCCTGCGAATTATTCCTGAGTTTGAGAGCACATTCTAAAAATTCAAGGGATGTGAAGAGCAGAAAACATTAATAAGAACCACTATACTAAAAGTATGACTAATAAATCAGTGTAGAATAGAGATGAATTTTTTGTGTGCTTCTGCTAAAATATGTTTATTTAACTTAAAAATAATTGATGCTTTGGGATCCAAAAATTACATTGAAAGGAAGGAATAGTAAATATATATTTTTAGAATAAATTATAAAAATTGATGATAATAAATAAAAAAAATGGTAAAGTGATTAGAATGTCACATAAATTAAACCAAAAAATTTATATAAGATTAAATTAAATTAATATTATATATAATATTATTACTTTATCTATATCTATTCTATACATTCTATATAAACAAATAAATAAATATATATATTTATTAAAAGCAAAATGTTCTATCTCTGNTACCAAATTTCAACTTTCAACTCCTAACCATTTAAGCTCTGAGCTTATTATTATTATTATTATCAACCCATCTTGATTATATATATAGATATAATATATTAATAAATTTTTGTCATTTAATTTAACTTAAGCATGTTTAAACAAAAATTCTTGAATGCCATTTATATTACACTAGTAGACCCTGCCACGTGTTGTTGTGGCTCAAAATGTATCTATTATAAATGTATAACATTTCCCCCGTAGGGGAGAATTTTTGAAAAATCCTTTTGTAGTGTACATTCTGTTGATGTACCCTATTAAAACGCAATCAAAAACACAAAAGCCAGCATCTAAAATAGTATAATAGAAGCCAAGTTCTGCACGGTAAGCCTTAATCCTGTCCCTCTCCCCAATGGGGGAAAATCGAAAAATCCCTTCTTGAGTGTACATTCTGTTGACATATCCTATTAAAACGCAATCAAAAACGCAAAAAATCGCATCTAAAATAGTATAAATAGAAGCAGAGTTCTTTACGGTAAGCCTTAATCCCAACCATCTCCCTTCAGTTGGGGGAATTTCGACATGTATATTATATAAAAACACGTGCATATTCGAATGCAGCGCTGTGTCAAAATTTCAAAGGAATCGGTAGGAACAAACAAACATTACATTTTTATTTATATAGATAGACAGAAGATGATCTGCTTTAGTTCATCCTCACAGAAAAGCATAATGCCTCACAGAAAAGCAAACTTAGGTCGTCGTACTAGTACTGCCATCTGTTGGACACAAAAGCCTTAACCCTAGATGATATCTTTTAATTTATATGAATGTTTAATGGAATAATATACAGCCTATGTCCACCCTGAAGTTCCATTCTAAATATTGGTGAAAGAATTTTTGAAATCGGATGAGTAGTTTCGGAGATTACCCGCTATATCCAAACTTACTTACTTACAAACATTACCTCTTTATAATATTAGTATAGATAAATGTCAATTAACACAGTTTTTATTAATTTGATTTAAATTCAACTGTGGCACTACCAAAAAATGCAAATATCTTTCCTACATGTGCATTGAAATGTAATTTAAATAGCAATATCATTGATGATTTGTTATGTGATGTGAGGCGCTCTTGGCACCACTAACTTCTAAATCAGTAGTCCTGTCATTGATTGTTGAGCCGTCAACTTTCTTAGATAGACAAAAAATGTTAGCTTCTTTGGTATTATTCTTGACTTCATATAAACAGTTTGTTTTCTTTAGTTTGTTGTAAAAGGGAACATGTTATTGTTTTGTTTAAGTACAATGTTACAAGCAGATATGTTATACATCATGTAAAATAGCAAACTAACTGAACTTTTTAAATTAACAGAAAAGTTGTAGATATAATTTCAGCAGGTTAGCCAACATGGATCTACATATATAGTAGCAACTATGAAAAATTTCTGAAATTCAATTTCATCAGAGAATGTGTTTTTGAATATGCAAGCAGAATTTCCTTCAAAATAATTCTCTTCCATTACGCAAATAACAACAATTATAGTTTGAACTGTACTTGTTTTCTAACTCCTAAAAATGAATGAACTAGATGTTGTTTCCAATATTATTCTGATAAAAAACACTGAAATCAGCCATAATGATCAGTTCACTCAACAAAAATGTCTTTCTTTCTCACTGATTTTCAATCAACAATTGAGGAATAATGCATATTTAATGTCTTGCAAAATTCTCTGTTAACTTCCATCAGAAAAATGCTGACCGAAAGCAATTGAATATTCTGCCTTTCATAACACTCAAATTGTCTAATTCTGTAATGTTTGTCTTTTATTGAAACTATTGACAGTATCTGCATTTCAGTAGACACTGTCAACTCCCAATTTCACAGTCAGAAAAAAAACTGAAACAATGCATCTCCAGAACAGTGAAATTGATATCAGAGGATATGCTGGAACATGTTTGAACAGTACCAAACTATCTCCTTTAACATTTGCCATATCACCAATAGTGCCTGTATTGAACATTTGTAATATGTATATGAAACTTGGCGAGTTCTACTTTTTCATTGCCAAATGTTATTTCAGGTATTGCTAAATCAGCTTTATTTTGCACACTCCTTTTTAAATAACTCTGAACATCCTGAAATGCTTCTTTTAAGTAATAAATAAAATCATTACTGTAATAAATATTATTATCATCATATTTAGATGACAGTTTTTTTATTACACTTTGACTTGTACTTTTTCTTTATATCTGATACTTTTTTCTCAGATATTTTTAAACAATAAAGCATGATAATACAACAACAGATATAATGCAACTAATGATATTATAAAAACTAAAATTTATGGTAATAATATAGTAACACAAATATTTATAACATGAAAATATTATAAATGATACAGCTATGATTTTAATCAATGATTTAGAAAGTAATGAAAAAAACACAATGATATGCTTGAATAAAGAATTTGTCATGCTCAAAAATAGTCAAAGATTTTAAATTCACTAAGTTTAAATAAATCTACATATATAAACATCGAAAAGTGCAATAATTTTAGTAATATGCAAAATAAATGATGGATTAAATCAGGCTACTTTACAAATATTCTAAATTATTTATTATATATTAATTTAATTATAATTATGAAGGTCATTCTAAAAGTAAAGAATGTTTGTTTCTCTAGATATTTTTATTTAAGATAATGTAACAAAACTTATTTTACAACACATATGATACCTTAGCTATTTTTCTACATAGTTGCCATGCAAATTTAAACATTTGTCATAGCATCACATCAGCCAAAAATGATTCCCGACCAAAAAATCCTTCAATTTTGGGAAAAGATGGTAATCACTCTGAGCTACAAGGAGGATGTTCAAAAACTTTCCACTTAAACTGCTGAAGCAAGCTCTTCTTCAACACAGCAGCATGTGCACATGCATTATCCTGAAGAAGCACAATGCCTCTAGACAATAATCCCTACCGTTTGTTTCGAATTGAAGCTTCATTCATCACATTACCATAAACCTCGGTTATCTGTCCATAAATTTCGACAGGACGGACTTTTTCTCATTCAAAAAGCGGTTTTACACTACGAACCTCACACTTGGCGGGATCTTTAATTTTGTCACACATTTCAAAGTTATATTGTAAACAGTAAACAATCGTTGTGGCTCGCTGTTAGTATCAGACTGGCGTGAAAACATGAGAAGGTCCATGACGTGGTGGTGGGAGAACTAAGTGGCTCGTCAGATCAAAACATTCTTTTCTTTTAGAATGACCCTCGTATTAAATTTAATAAGAGATGGTGTCCAATAACTACCGCTAGTACCAAATTATTTAGAATTTAATTAAAAATAACATTGGTAAAGTAGCCTGATTTAATCTGGCAATCATTTAGCATATTATAAATAAATCTGATCTTTCAAAAAGATCATAAGCAATCATACTTAACTCTTTGTAATCTAGAAACAAGTTTTCTAACTATATTTTTGCTAATATCCACGCAAATTTTAATTCCTTCACTGGCACAAGTGAGAATTTTACTCAGTAACCTTGACATGATTAACCTACTAGGATTTATCAAGCAAGAACAAAACCTGGTAAAAGTGAAATGAATTATTTGTTGAAGCTATTTCATGAGATAGACTATAAATTTATCTTTAAAACTGAATTAATTTCAACCAAATTTTCAAAATCTCTCTTATGGAATGGTGGAATGAATAGATACAAAAATTGGACAACATTAATCAAACTATTTTAGTTATAGAATGGTCTGTAAAAGAAAAAAGTATAACAATGTTTTAAGAATTATCAAGTTACTATTATTTTTAATATATTCCGAAATAAAATGTCTAATAAAATCTACTTTCCTGGTAATATGAGATGAGAAATTTGTTCATTTTCATTCTCATATGTTAATCTATCAGTGATGATTATATTTGATATCAGTATTTTTGTGATTTTTAATAAAAACCAATATATATTAACCTATATGACATTACATGCCTTCCAAATTTCAAACACACACACTACAGGATCAGCACTCCTAATGTAGAGATTAAAACAAAAAGCTTGATATTGTGAGATCTGAATAGCCCCGGGTCTAAAATAATAATTTAAAATTAAAGTAAAATCTTTACAGAAAAATATTCTTTCAATTTGATGGGAAAATAATGTTTTTCTAGCGTGGGAAAGCAGATAAGAGAGTCACTTCCTTTGACGGAAATATGAGCATCCTCTGTTTTTCCCTTATCTGTTAAAAATCTCATTACGATGGGAAGTGACGACCCCTCATTCCTTCTCCTTTTCATCTGTTCACGTGGGTGTAGAACAGTATGATGATTGGTCGTAAACCTAGAGATATAGTCGAAGTTTGACAGAGTTCGGGGAGTTCGTCGGTAGGTCTGAAAGTGACAGGACTCCACTCATTTGCTCTCTAAGGCCAACACCCTTAGAAGTTCGTCAACAGATCCCCAATGTGGAAGATGAAATCCATACAGGCTCCACAAGACCAATGGCCATAGACGAATGCTATCGAGTTAATATTGATAAAGAACATAGAAGATATATTAGATGTTGGAATAGCACTCCATGAATAGAAGAATGAGAACCTTATAACCGAAGGTATATTCGATACATATAGAAGAAGAAGAAGACAACTAAATAGGTTGTATGTTTATTATTGAATTGTGAGCTCTCTCTCTCTCGACATTGTATAGGTTAAGAGTATCCATTCTCTAGCTCGAAGTATATATCTCTCCCTTCATTTAATTTTAATTTGTATTAAGTTTTATTTGTATTTTTATTTATCTTATTACTTTATTAAATCGTTTATAGTTATTATATTAAGACATGTCTCTTGATTGTTGTCAGAATCAGATCCCTACTCAAGTGTTAATCCGTGGGATATAAATGTGATTAACTGGTGTCAATCCTGACATAGATCCGAATCCTACAATTTTGATCTATTACAATAGCCCTCCCGGTCAAAAATCGTGACATAGGATCAGATCAAAAGATCCAAAACCAAGAGAACTAGTTTCACAAACTAGCCGCCGAATAAGTGGTACCAACATCTTAATAGATAGATTGTACCCCTGGCTGATCTCACAATATATTTATTACAGAATGCTAAGAAACATTTTGGTCTGAATTGTCTAATTTATTTTAAAAAAATTATTCAGACATATTTCATGTTATTTAAGCTAATCTCTGATAATATACAGCCTTGTGTACAATTGTAACAGTATAATCTTAGAGTATTGGATTATTTATTTATTTATCCTAACTACTTCAAGGTCAGTCTATTGCATTTCCAATGAATATCTAAGAATAATGCAAAAACAAAGATAATTAAAGGATAAGGTTAGCAACATCATGTCTTAATGCAGACAGTGAACATTCAGTTAAATCTAATGACCATCATTCCAAATATCCTTGCAAATATGCCAAAACATATGTANATATTATCTTTAAAAAGATGATTAATTTTTAAAAATCTTTTATAGCGAAAATTCATTATCAGCTTTCTGCATTAACTAATAAAGATTTCGCGAGAGTAATAAAAGAAATCGAATTCTAAATTTATTTTAAAATTAAATATTTAATTAAAACATTTATGAGTATCATGCATTATCTTACCCGTATATCCAGGATGACATGAACAAGAATAATTGTTAGGTACATCAATGCAATTGCCATGCAAACAAGGTTGAGATACACATTCACTGATATATTCATCACAATTCTTGCCTTTCCATCCAGGTAAGCATTCACAATGGTAATCATTAACCTAATTATGATATTGTTGAAACTATTACACCATGCAAAATTCATTCAAAAACATTAAGTATCATGCAAATATAAATAAAAATATTAACATAAATTTTAACAATAATGACAAAAATTTAAACTTACAATAAAGCACATAATATGTAGCATTTCAAATTTACATATATCTTTATAAAAGGAACATAAAAAAGTAATTAAACTTAATATATATGCCTCAGTTTTTTTATCTTTACATTAAAAAAATCTTATACATATGACAAGCATTTTTATTTCTTTGTTAACTGTCACATGTGAAAACATCTTTTCCATTGAGTTATCCAAAAAGTTCATACTGACATTAAGTAAAACAAATTGTTTATTTTATAATAAATTTTAAATTAGAAATATTCTGCTCCCAATTTTTACAACCCTCATTCAGCTTTTAGATAACTGAAAGAATTAACAGACTCAACCATTAATCTCTACTTAATATAAAACATCATATCTAAAAACACTAAGGAATTGATAAACTTCCCAATAATATTTAAATTTTCTAATATAGTGATAAAAAAATTTTTCCAAATTTAAATTAATATAAGCAAATTAACAGAAATAAAATAAACAGACACATTCAAAAGTTTATGCTGTTTTTTTAACAGGTTTGATAACACTGAGGAAAGAATAATTGTTTTTAGTGAAAACAATTAAGAAATTACATATTGAAATGAATACATTGAGTTAGAAAATAATTTTAAAATCAAATTACAAGGTTAAAAGCTACAGATTTAAAATTAAAACAAATTCTTGTTTAGAATTAATAGTGAATAAAATTTTTCTGAATATTTATTTAATGAAGTCTTTCTTATCCTCTTAATAATCAGATTAATAAAAAAAATTTTGCCCGTTCTAATGAAATTAGAGTTAATGTAAATAAAAATTTTTTACATATTGTAAAAGAAAGTAATAATCCATTTAATAAGACTAATAAAGCAATTTAAAAATGGATTGTTGTATTATTCTTACTTCAAAACTCTGGTCTGTTTTTATAATAAAAAAAAAATTGTTTTTTGATCATCTTGATCAGGGCTCCTTAAACTATGGGTCATGACCCCATTTGGGGTCGCTTAACAAAATATTGGGGTCGCGAGATTTTAATGCAAAATATTGAAAATAATTTGTGAGAGTTTGAAAATGGCATGCTTTGTGTCATAGTTTTCGTGAGTTGCGCTTTGTGTCACTTCTGGTGCAGTGAGACAATTATTCAGCAACACTGATTGTAGTGTGAACTAGTGTAGTATTGTCACTTTTCAGTGTATTCAGTTGTCTCTGTTCCATTGTAACACAAGAGTGAACTGTGGTAGTTACACCATTATTGTTTTTGCAAATTTGTATATATCTTTATTTTATATTTTTTGGATCATGAAAAAAATCACAATCATAAATGAGGTTGTGAATAAAAAAAGTTTAAGAAGCCCTGATCTGGATAATCTCAAAAATAAAATATTTAAAATAATTCTATGAGTTAAGTTAACCTTTATCAAAATTCAAAACTATGTTTTATAAATGTCAGTAAAAGAAAGATTAGGCTGAATGCTTGTAGATAGTCAATTTATTAACTTCACAATGCAAATCAATTAAAATAAATTATATTTATTGTATATATAATAAATATATAAAATAAAAAATCAGTTATTTGAAATATCAAATGAACAGATGAATTTTTTAATCAGATTATAAGACTAAATAATTATTAAGAAATTTGACAGGAAGCAGGTCATTAGGCTGCCATCACTTGTTAAAAATAATAATTATAAGTAAATAAAATAATTAAAATTAATTTTAGAATCCAGCTGTTCATTTCGGTTATTTGAGATTATTGTATTAGTTGTATTTATTATATAATGTCAGTTATTTTTGAATTTTTTCAGACAGACCAAAAAAAAATTAAATAAATAAATAAATTTCTTCATTGAAATAAGCAATTGGTTAAACAGCTTTTTTATGTTATACAAAATATTCAGTAATTATAAATATTATTTCAATTTAGATATTTTAAACATTAATTCAAAAATGTTAACAGTGTCTCATATTAAATTTAAACACAATAAAGATTATGTTAAATTCTTTAACATATTATGTGACTATACAATATAATTAATAAAATAATAAAGATGAAAAAATTTATGAAATATTTCTATATTGGAAAAACCAAACATTTTTACAAATATATTGTATTTAATTACTTTTATGACTATATTAGTTAAGTTCACTATTTTAGGAATCTACAATAATATACTGAAATATTACATCATTTTGGGAGTGATTGTGCTTTAACTATCATATATGGACATTGTTATTTTAAACAAATTATTATTGTAAATTACTTTAGTAATAATAAAATGTTTAAAATAGTGTTGTATATTGTTAAATTGTAATAAACTGTAATAAAATAATGCTCTATATCTTACTAGATCATTACACTTGATACTACGATTCGTTGAACAAGGATTTGATAAGCATTCATTAATTTCTGTTTCACATAAAGGACCCGTATATCCTTGTAAACATTCACATATACCGGATCCAGTAATACATCTACAAAATAATCAAATTTTTAAAAATAAATATATAATAGAATATTGAATAAATATATTGTATTAGTTACATGGTAAATTAATTAGAATACTTATTTTATAGTGGAAATATCCAATCATGGTATGCAAAATGCAGTACAGTGATACCTCAGGATACGAAATTAATCTGCTCCAAAACTGAGATTGTATCATGAAAATGTCGTAAGGTGAATCATTTTCTCCATACGATTACATGTAAAACCAAATAATTCGTTCCAACACGAAAAACACACTCAAATTAAAGCTAAGTAGTACATTAAAAAAAATATAACTATACTCATCTTTACCACAACACCGGAGAATAGTAATATAATTACCTCTTTCTAACCTGTTACCGGTGTGTCTACTAACTCTTAACGATCCAAAACGAACCAAAACTAACGTTTTCGAACCCTTAAACGGTTCTTCTTCAGGTTTTTTCGAATCTCTGATGGAAAATGCAGCTCGTAAAAACTTTAAATTCGAAATATGTAAGTTCGAATGCACGTTTCCCGTTTCCGTCGTTGTATGTCATGCGCAGTCGACTCCAAACGGGCTATCATAAATTACTATTCATAAACGCTAGCCACGCTGTTGATAACGTAATCTCTTCTTTATAATTGATGCATTGATTATCCTTANTGTTATATATATTTTTAAAATTTTTTATTCACTGCTTTTTGCTTTCTTTCATTCACTTCCACCAGAACTTTCACTGGATAGAAGTAGCTTGGTAAAATATCTATCCAAAGAGGTTTGGCTTTGCCTACTTTTTAAAATGTTTCTAAAATGACTTAGGCAAATGTCATTACTTCAAGCAGCAATATGGCCAGTGTGAACCTTTTCGGGACGTTTCTTTTCAATAAAATCAATCACTTTCTGATAATACCTCAAGATTTCCTTTATCGAGCGAGATCCTTTCACGACAAAGTAAACACACGGACTGAGACCAATGAACATAAGTGAATAAAAAACGGTGCTGCAAACTAATGTAACTTTGTATGGTGAGTTTTTGTTCCTATCGTGGAGCAAAAATATGTTCGAATTTCATGTCTTATCCTGAAAATTTTGTATGCTGGGGTGTTCGTATCCTGAGGTACCACTGTATTTACAAATACGCATGCATTTTTCTTCAAAACTAATGCGATAAACTTCAAATGCTGTACAATTCAAATTATAATAAATAAATAGCAATATTTCATTTGGAAAACAAATGCTATCACCATAATGCAATTCAGATAATTTAGATAAGAGATGGTATCTAATATCTACATCTTGTACCAAATTACTTAGTTTCTAATTATTAAAGCATAGTAATAGTCCAATTAATTATGGAGAGATTGTTTGGTTTGGTATCAATACATCAAGTTTTGGGATGTTGATATATATATATATAGGAAAAGAACTAATTAATATTTAGTTAAACTAACATTTTAACTTTTTATATTGAATTAAATCATTAAATGTTATAAACAATATAAAAAATTATATGTATTACGTTAATTATTTTTAAATTATTTTTAAATTTTACATTTCAGACAAGTGAAATGTAAAATTTACAAATGCAAGACATCAAATTAAAAAAATGTTTTTTCATATCAGACTTGAAAATACAGGAAATCTTTGTTAGTTCAAACTTCGAGACAAAATAATTGAAACTTCAAACTATTGAGTTTTGAATTATCCTAGATTTACATATTTCATACAGTATGCCAAATGCCATGTAACTGATGTAATTTATCAAGCAAACAGAATATGGCTATGTCCATATTCAGAACAGCATGTGTCCAGTGAGAACCTCACAGGTTGCCAGACAGTTTTTATAAAAAGTAAAACAGAATTCTCAAAATGTAGCCCCAAAAATAGTAAGTTGCTCAAATCTAGTAACCTAGAGCACTACAAATATCTCAATCTGCTACTCTGAAAAATAATCAAGCCCAATCTTGCCCAGCCATATTTTATGAGATAAGAGAAAAAATAGGTAAAAGTAAAGCCATATTGACCAGATTAGAATTGTCCTCTTACAGTAAGGAGCCACTTCAATCTAAATGAATGAGTTAACATATGCATATTGTAGTTTGGACAGAATTTTCACTTTGAATTTCTAAGTAGCCATATTTGAAACTAACCGAATTTCTTAACTTTAAATCTCTATATCCACTGCCGGGACAAAGGGTCTTTCAAATTGAGTCCTTTTTTTTAAGAATAAATAAAATATAGATGGCACAGTAAACTCGTCTGGGTATTTTGACAGTTAAAAAGTGTGATGTATGACATTTCTAAAAATGGCTTCATAAACGATACAACAACATGTTCAAGTTGTTGAATTATTTTATGAAAATCTGGTAATGCTGCTGGTAATGCTGTAACAGTGAATGGTGTTTGATATCATGAGATGTTAACTGAATTTTTGTGGCCTGAACTAAATGATATTGATCTAGAGGATATATGGTTTCAACAGGACAGTGCAACACCTCATTTTGCTAATGAAACAATTGCTTTATTGAGACAAAAATTTCCTGGAAGAATTATTGCAGGAAATGGTGATGTTAATTGGCCACTAAGATCATGTCATCTAACACCATTGGACTATTTTCTTTGGGGTTATGTAAAAAGCCAGGTCTATAAGAACAAACCACAATTGATTCCTGAACTGAAGGATGAAATTATTCATGTCATTGGTGAAATAGAGCCTCAATTATGTCAAAATATCATAGAAAATTTTAACAAAAGAGTGAATCACTGTGAAGCAGAAAGATGTGGTCATTTGTCAGATATTATTTTTCATATATAAATGTCATAACTGATTCTTCAATTACCAATAAAAAGTTTTTAAAAATCAATGCAAATTATGTCTTTTATTTATTTTTTAAAAAAAGACACTCAATTTGAAAGCCTCTTTAGTACAGTTACAAACTAGTGAAATTTCAAGCTATCCGAGTTCAAATTAACAAGGATTTCCTGTATTGATATGGGTTAGAGATTCAGTCAGGAAAATATGGTATATCGTTAATCATTTCCAATATAATTCTGTTGCAAAATAAATATTAGATTTGATTCAGGACTTGATGATTATTATAAATTAAAAATGTCTAGATACTCTGATAATACTCTGATTTTATTGCTAATTATATACAACTGAAAAATTCTTATGTACAAAAACTACAAAATTCTTATGTATTTCTTAGAAGGGAGTATGAATATATTTTTAAACACATATAAAAAATAGTTAAATTAAATTTAAAATTAACTTTATTGACTTAACTTTATATGAAAAATAATCAAAATGACAGAAGTAATGTAAACTAAGAATGCATAAAACAAAAACTATGTAAATTTGTGTTCATATAATATGCATTTTAGTCAAAATTCAATAAATGAATTTGAACAATAAGAATTATCCTAATTATTTAGAATAAAAATTAAAATTACATAAAATTTTTAAAATCCAATGACAAAGATTGAACAAATAACATAAATCAAAAACCATTTACACATTTTCATCAAAGGATTTATTCAGTAGATGAACCAATGCTTTTGGTTTATTTTATAAACCTTCCTCAGGTTTAGCTTCAAAATACAAATTCTGATATTCTAAATTGAAATGTGTCAAACATTCTATGATATTATTTACAAAATATTTTAAAAATACTGAAATGTTAAGTTTTGTATACAAAAAAGGTATACAAACTTCCAGTACAAAAAATTATACTTAAAGATGTATAGTCCATATTAAGAAAATAAAATAAACTGAAAAAGTCTGAACCTACTTCCTGCATTTTCAGCTGTAGTTTCATTTATGTATGTATTGATTCCATGTTTCCTGAGATTAATGAAAAATTACCACCATGCAGGAGATTGAGATTCTCTCTCATCACAGTTAATGCAATCACCTTTTAATTTGGCCTTGTATATTTCCAGTGTTTCTAGCATTCTTAATTGATGACCATTGAAGACTCATTTTATCATCATAGAATGTTTGGCATATTCCAATTTAGAATATCAGAATTTCTATTTACAAGCTAAACCTAAGGCTGGTTTATAAAATTAAACAAAAATGTTTGTTTATCTATTGGAAAAGTGTAAGTGGTTTCTGATTTATATGAAACTTTTATTTGTAGGAGAAAAAAGTCTTAACTAAAAAAATATAAATTAGAAACTGAAATAAAGAAAAATATAAACAAGCTGTAAAAAAGAAAAAAATACATAAACATTATATACATGTCAAAGGTTTATTTGATCAGTTAAGACAGTGCACACTTTAATGTTAGTTTATTAATTTGTTTAGAATGTTCACTGAAAAACTGAAGAGATGACGTCAAAATGTACTATCCTAGTCAATCCAATATATCTTACATATCAGTATAATTTATTTATACTGTATTTCCTTTTACATTAATTACAAAAATTTTGACTGATTTCAGTTAACTGATACAAATTTAAGTTTAATTATAGAAGACACAAAAAAATTAATTTATAATCACATTATTACCAGATGAAAAATTCAAAGACCAAATCAAATAAATTACTAAATAGCTTTGTAATTCAACATTCTAGATAAAAATGAAACATTCCATCACAATGCACTTTAAATTTTACATTCAGAATAAACATACAGTAAGACCCCGCTTAATGCTGCCTCACTTAACGCTGATTCAATATAACGCGGTCTGCTCGACGCCTAAAAAAAAAAAAAACGCTCAAAATTTATGCTGATTCAAATTAATGCGATATTTCATTGATTTGAATAAAATACTATTATTCCCAAACACGAACCAATCAGCAAAAGGTGACAATTCGTCATAGCGCCACACTTTCCTTAAATCTATGTTTGTTTTGTGCAATTTTGGAAAAAATATAACATCATAGAAAATAGCAAGTTGGCTTGGCAAGAATTAACTGATAAATGCATGAACAAAGTATGGAAGAAGTTATGGCTGAAGGTATCCAAGAATTCTCATCGAGTATAGCCTATTGCTGTATCGTTAGGTTGACAAAATTGTCAACTTAACCAATACAGGAGATGTAGATGAGCAGGATATTGGGGTTACTGCAGGTTTCTGGTAAGAGCCTTACCAATGACGACCTTCAAGAACTGACAGAAAAGGAATTCATGTAGAACTGGAAAATAGAGATTCTGAAGATGAAAAACCCAAAAAATTTCTCTACAGTTTTCCTTAGTAAAAGTTTGGTAACGGTAACTGAAATCGTTGATCAAATTGTAGCGAATAATCCAGATTTTGATAGGAGTGCCAAAGCAAAACGAGGTGTTTTGGATGCGATCTTCTGCTACCGACATTTGCTTAAGGAAAGAAAAAGAAAGCGACCAATGAAACTACATGACTTCATCGCAAAAAACACGAATTTCAGAAGAGCCAGGACCTTCATCAAAAAAATTAACTTTACATTTCTGTGCGCATATGTTTATGTGTTATTTAACATATTATGCAAAAATTTATATACCGGGTGTATAAGCTTAAATCCGCTGTTTGCTAATAGATGGTGTAAGCGAGCGTATTAAGTTACCATGACGACGCCATATTGTTTTTTTGATGATTTTGACGTCTGTCAACATTAATCAGTGCACATCATCAGATATTTCATACAACAACATATATTTTTTTTTGTGATCATGTCTACTTTTGTGCCAGAAAAAGAGCATACGCGGCAAGCTTTGCTTTTCTGCTTTAATTTGAAGAAATCGGCTGTCGAAGCACATCGAATGCTTGTGGAGGCTTATGGAGACAGAGCTTTATCGGAAACCATGTGCAGAGATTGGTTTCGTCACTTCAAAGATGGAAATTTTTACCTGAGCGACAAGAAGCGTGAAAATCGGCCCAGGAAGGTTGAGGACCATCAACTGCAGGCTCTTTTGGATGAGGACAATACCCAATCGCAAAAAATGCTTGCCAAGCAATTAGGTGTTACTCAACCAGCCATTTCCATGCGTCTACAAGCCATGGGAAAGATTCAGAAGATCAGAAAATGGGTGCCGCATGAATTGAACGATATGCAGATGGAGCGACGCCAAAACACATGCGAAATCTTGCTCGCCAGACAAAAAAGAAAGTCGTTTCTGCATCGGATTGTAACTGCCGATGAGAAATGGATATATTTTGAGAATCCTAAATGCAAGAAATCGTGGGTTGATCCAGGCAAACCATCAACATCTTTCCCAAGACCCAAATCGCTTTGGACGGAAGACAATGCTGTGTGTTTGGTGGGATCAGCAGGGTATTGTCTACTATGAGCTGTTGAAACCTGGCAGGGTATTGTCTACTATGAGCTGTTGAAACCTGGTGAAACTGTCAATGCTCACCGCTACCACCAACAACTGATCAAATTGCACTGTGATCTGCGTGAAAAAAGGCCGGATTATCAGCAAAGACACGACAAGCTGATTTTCCTCCATGACAATGCACCATCACACGTGTCAACATTGGTCTGAAACTACTTGGAGACACTCAACTGGGAGGTGCTACCCCATCCCGCTTATTCACCAGACCTGGCCCCTTCAGACTATCACCTCTTTTCATCGATGGGCCACACGCTTGATGAGCGGCACTTCGATTCTTACGAAGACGTCCGAAAATGGCTTGATGAGTGGTTTGCCTCGAAAGAGAAGAAATTTTTTTGGCATGGTAGCCACACATTGCCCAAGAGATGGAACAAATGTGTCACTAGTGAGGGAAAGTACTTTGAATAAATTTGTTTTTGCTTTCTAAGAAAAAAACGTGTGTTTTTCTGACTAAAAAACAGCGGATTTAAGCTTATACACCTATGTAAAAATAACTTAAAATTATAGTAAAATGTGCTTACTTTTTGGTTGCATGTTCCCCTATCTCTATTTACTCTATGTTAAAATAGTCTCGTTTAACACTGTTTCACTTAGCGCTTTTTGACTAGGAACGCATCCCCGTGTTAAGCGGGGTCTTACTGTACAAAATTAAAAGAAAGTTTAAGATTTATATAAGATAACATAAAACATGCAGATTTTTTAACCCGGACTTCCACATAGGAAATCAGTTTTAAAAAATTTCAACAATATTCAAGAATTTTAAACACTTGAATAATTCAGATATCAGGTATCAAACTAATCTTGAATACGCAGACAATAAAATATCAAGTACTTAAGTAAAGTACTTTCTCCATTATTCAGCAACAATACTCACAAGGAGAACATTGCTACATGCAAATCATGTAATGCTCAGTACTAGCATTTATTTTGTAGTTAAACACATGCTATTTACCCACCTAAGAGGATTTCTTTATGGTCAATATTTCTATTTTTTCATAAGAAAGTAAATCACAAACTATTTGACAAGCAGAATAAAGATGTACAACTTATTAGCAGTGACATTGTTGCATTAAAACAAAACATTTCATTGTAAGGCAATGATATCACTGCCTATCAGCTTTATCTCTTCACTCTGCTTGTCAAATAGTTTGTGATTTACTTTCTTATGAAAAAATAGAAATATTGACCATAGAGAAATATCCTCTTAGGTGGGTAAACAGCATGTGTTTAACTACAAAATAAATGTCAGTACTAAGTATTAACACAATTTTCATATAGTGATGTTCTCGTTGTTAGCATACCTTAGTAAAAAATATTATAATAATTCACAGTGTCAAATTCTATTTTGAGATATAAATTATAGGATTATTGGATTTTACTAAATTAGATCAGTCTTATCAATAGAAAAATCTAGATAATTTTGAAATATTCTGGAAAATACCTGTAATATAAGTTCAAAAAATATGATATACATTTAATTTACTAAAATTGTCACTTCTAATCATACAAAATTCAACTAATTAAATAAAACTAATTTTCATTTTTAGCTAGGCTCATTCTGATAAACACTTTCATAAATTTAATAAATGAAAGTAAATATGTTAAAATTAAAAATTAATTTTATAAACACACTAAAAAAAATTCTTTTTTAATTTAATTACCTTCCTCCATTCTGACAAGAATTAACAGAACATTCAACATGATCAATTTTGAAACAGTTGGGATACTGCCCTAAATATATATTTATAAAATGTTAATAAAGAAATACATTTTAAAATATTTAAAGAATTTATACATTATTTATTAAAGTACTGAAATGTAGCTTACCACTATAACCTGGATTGCAAACACAATAGTAATTACCACCTTCATTAACACAAGTTGAATTAGTTTGACAATTTCCATTTTCACAATTTGCATTTATTTCACAATTAATGCCATTAAATCCTTGAACGCATTGACATTCATATCTGTCTAAATAATCTATACAAGATCCTCCATTTAGACATGGTGAAGAAAGACATTCATTAATTTCATTAGTACAATATTTTCCTTGGAAACCATGAGAACACTGACAAACAAAATCGCCATATCTATCAAAACAAGTACTTCCACTGGGACATGGATTAATTTCTTCACATTCATTTATATTGATCTCACAATTTTCTCCTCTATATCCTGTAATCACAGATAAGTTGTAAATGAGTAAGTTTGAATTTACATATTACAGTAGAGCATCGTTTATCTGAAAGCCGGTCAACTGAAAGCATTCCAGTTGGCAAATTTAAATTTCTGCTAGTGCTGTGGCATTGCAACCTTTGGCTATGTCTTGGATTACTCAATATTTTTTTTGTTGGTGTGTGTGTTTTAGCTGTGCAGCACTGGCACATGTGTGTGGTGTTTTTCTGAGGACTGTGTGTCGGGATGCATGTTGTGCTGAATCATGTTTTTGACACTAGATTAACTTTTAAAGTATAACTTTTTTTGTTTTTATATTTTTTAATATATTTATTTTGTTTGTACAAAATAATGAAATAATTTTTAACGATACAATAGCCACGATTATTATTATAAAAATTTTTGTTAGGCTTAACATTGACAAAAATTCAATGTGAAGAGACACGCAATGGAAAAAAATTTCAACATGGGATAGGTTAATATATTTTTTCGTACATAATTGGTTATCCAAAAAATAAGTTATCCAAACAACCCCAGTCTCCAATTGATTCGGATAAATGACGCTCTACTATATTTTATATATTTTTAAACTATTGCAAAAAAGGCATTTTAATTTTAAATGTCAATGATGTCATGAATTTAGTTGTATGTCCTTCAGAATTAGCCCAAAGTTGCTGTTCAGAACAATCACACAGGAACACTCGTTTTTGATGGAAAAAGGTTTATTTTCTATAATTTAGTAAGGGTATGCATTTTGGACTTAATGTCCCTCTTCAGTCCTTAAAAATTATTATAGTGACAGCTGAAATAATTAATTATTAAAACCTTGGGGTAAAATAAGTAAAACTGTAGAAATAAAGTTATTTTTGTTAAATCATATAAAACCATGGGCTAATACAAGTAAAACTATAAAAATAAATATAATTTCGTTAAAATGTATAATGTTTTGTATATCATGAATTTAGATACAAAACAAAAATCGTGAGCAATTTTTTCATACTGTTTCAAACTTAATTTAATCATATGCATGTATTATTCATTAGTTATCCATAGTTGCATTTTATAGCCATGAATGCAAAACAGCAGACCAGTTCCTTTCAATTAAATATTAATTATGCATATCTGGCATTGTTCTATCAGCATCAGATACGGCATAACTGATATTTGTAAATGGACTTTTAATGCAATCATATATGATGTTGAAGTTAACTCAAGACTAAGATGACCAGATTTTAACATTGGTGAAGTGGGACAAAATTGATGGGAAGCTGTCTTGTTAAAAATATTGTTCTAGAGCTACAAAATTTTATCAAAAAATGCAAAAATTGTACTGTATTATATTTTTTAAAATTTCAACATATGTAAAATTTACAAATATAATAAATATATATACTATTATAAATCTTTAAAAACTCTTTATTCTTTCACATATTTCTCAGTTGAGTGAATTTTTTTAGTAGATTGCTGCTGCTGTTTAAAATGTCATGAAATTTTTTGCAAGAATCAGTTAAATTATATTTCACACATAATATGACTTTCAAAATTTCAACATTTAATTGTGATTTATCAANTGTTTAAAATGTCATGAAATTTTTTGCAAGAATCAGTTAAATTATATTTCACACATAATATGACTTTCAAAATTTCAACATTTAATTGTGATTTATCAAATGTCCACACTTTATTTGAGGTAGAAAAAAATGCATTCAGTCATGGCATTAGTTCTGGTAAGGACAGCAAACGATGCAAACTAATGTGCTTACTCTCACTAGTCACCAGCTTTCTAAGGCAGTGACAGACAAGAGCTTTGCACCATATAACATGCAACAAACAAAATGTTCATTTGTTTGGACAGCCTTGTGAATACGCGCTGCTTCGTTGCTGCAGCTGTGCACCTCAAACCATTTTCTGTCAGTTTTTGCCATGAACACAAAGGATTTTGTTGGCGCAGCATTCTGATGCTCATGCACACCTTGTTACTGATACTTGTGATGCAAAATGATCTTTATGAATCTTAAACATAAGACATAAATTTATGACACATAATTGACAAAAATTTAATCTCTCCAAAACTCAGGACTTTTTTAAAAACACTGCAGGATGCGGGATAAATTGTTAAAAAATGGGTCATCTGGTCACTTTACTCAAGACAATTCTTATTTTTAATTATTTTAAGTTCAAAACTTAGTCAATACAATATTTTTTTATACATACTAGACAAAGATTCTCATGTTATCAAACCGTAAATAAAATATTTATGAATTCCATTATATTTAAAAGTCCCTATATTGTCTAATGCATCTACATGTAATAAAAAAGTTGTTAAATTTTCTTTTATTACATATAATGTACAATAAATATAATGAAACAGAATAACGTTTTCTAACATGTTTTGACAAAGCTAAAATTTTTTGATTTATAAAATCAAAAACATTATAAATCTAATTAATTTTATAATGATATTGTTCATAGATGAGTCATATTTCATGTTTGTATATATTCTAAACAATTTTATAGTATGACATAATATTATCATTCCCTTCATATGAAATTAATAATTATTAATGATATTTAAATTTTTCAAGATTTAAAAAGTAAACTAATGCAGATAAAATCATTTTACGTTATTTTTAATTATAACATTATACAATTTGGTTTATATAAACTAATTATTTGTTCTAAAAAACTTTTGTTGTCTGGAATATAATTAGATAATTATCAAATATAATTCAAAAGCTATTAACTATTATGAATTATTTTAATCACATTGAGAGTTATGAATTTGTTTTGTTTTTAAATTAAAAGATATAACTTACAACTTAAAATCTTCAATCTAATGTTAGCTGAATAGAAGTTGCTTGTTTGTTTTTACAAAATCCACTCACATATTATTATTTTTCTGTTATTAATATTTAAAATATATGTTATAATTTTTTATTTCAATAACTTCATTGTACTGAATCCAGATTTGCTGGCTTTCAAAAAATTATTTACAGATATACATATATATCTCAAGAATTAAGACAAATTATAAAAATATTTGAAAATCTAAATAAAATTTATCTCATACATAATTTATACTGATAAAGTGTTCTATTCAGTGTAAACATAGTATGTGTTTCTTTATTATTATTAATCACTAGAACTTGTATAAAAATTTTGTACAAGTTCTAGTGATTAATTAGGAACAAAGTTTTATATTTAATATTTTCTACTAAATATTTAAATGTGAAATATATTACAATAAAAATTAATGAATTCAATAAATTAATACATCAATAATTAAATCAATTTCTAAATATGGTAACTACAGTAGAGCGTCGATTATCCGAATCAATTGGGGACTGGGGTTGTTCGGAAGATCGATGTTTCGGATAACTGATTATGTACGAAAAAATATATTAATTTATCCCATCTTGACATTTTTCTCCGTTGCGTGTCGCTTCGCGTTGAATTTTCGTCAATGTTAAGCCTAACGAAGACTATTGTATTGTTAAAAATTATTTTTTTATTTTGTATGAACAAAATAAATATATTGAAAAATATAAATTCAATAAAAAATTACTTCAGAAGTTAATTTAGTATCAAAAACGTTAAAATATTTGAGTAGCCCAAGACATAGCCAAAGATTGCAGCGCCACAGCACTGGCGAAAATTTAAATTTGCCGACTGGAATTCTTTCAGATGATTGACTTTCGGATAATCGACGCTCTACTGTATTAATTAATTCATTTTCAATATAGAAATGCAATTAATCATTATCAAAACTTTAAATTAATTACCTGTTCCATTACAATCACATACATAACCATTATTTTTATCCATACATACACCATTATTTTTGCAGGGATTTGATTCACATTCATTTATATTTGTGTCACAATTTATTCCAGTAAATCCTGAAAATAAAACATTACAGTAAATTTATTACATAATTGTTTATAATAAAACTAAACAACTACAGTTAAGACTGATTAAGTAATTGTGTTTTGCATAAATACAGTGAAATGTAAACAACAACAAAGTTTTTTACTTTTAAATATTTATCAATATCATTCCATATTCTAATATTAGTTTAATTAATGAATCTTGTTGGTATTTTAAAGTTACAACTTTACCACAATAATCTTTCTTATAAAAAAAAATATTCTATACTTCATAACCAGAATAACATTTTATACAACAAAAAACAAAGCATAAATTTCTAATCATTATGAACATTGACTAATGATATTTTGTATACTTAAATATGAAATGATCCAATTTTTTATAGTATTTTCACAATGTCATGAAAAAGAACATTGTTTATAATTTCAGTGTGAAAAATAGAATTAAATATTTGATAGATCATCTCAGCTTTTTAATTAAGTGATATTTAAAATTGTATCTATAAGGTTTTCATCTCAAAGAATACTTAAACTTATAATTTACAGAAACTTGAAATGTAGAAAAAATTAATCAATTTAAACATATGCAAAACTGCATTTCATTTTTCTTTTGGGCTATTATTTTGTCTTTTTGCTTGACTTATCAATAAAATTTGGACTTAGACACAAGTAATCTCATACAAAATTTAATGATTAAAGTCTATTAATTAATTGATGTTAAGTAATTAATATTAATTATTGTTATAAATATTATTCTTGAATTTAATATATAAATCTACATACCTTCTGTGCAAGTACAAACATATCCATTTTCGGATTGATTGATGTTGCAACTACCATTATTGCGACAGGGCTGGGAATCACAAAAGTTATGTTCAATTCTAGTTTCACATCGTAGTCCTGTATATTTTGGAGAACATATACATTTGGAATAATTTCCAAGTTTATCTTCACGACAAAAACCACCATTCTGACAAAAAGCGAAACTACACAATGGACCTAATAAAAAATAAATTTTAATTCATTTTAATTTTAATCAAATTTTAAATGCAATTTATTATATAAAACTATAAATTTTTAAAATTGAATTGAATACATTTTACAATTCAAATAACAACTGTAATAAAAAAAATTACAACTGGGTAATTTATCATTTTAAAAAATTGTTTGTGTAAAATTTTCATTAATCATAGTTTTACAAATATAATGTATTTTATCTGTTACTAGTCTGATTTCCAATCACGTCTTTCACACATTTATATAGTTCATAAAACAGTTCACAGTATTTGTTTTTAGCTTCTTTTAATATTAGTCTATTGTGACTATAATCTATTAACAGGTCTTATTATACTGATTTAACTTGTAAATGAAATTAGAGATTAAATCAATCTCTTGGTTCAAAAGAATAAACTTTTATTTGCACCTGTGTACAATATTTTCTTGTATTTCAGACTTTGTCCTTGTCAGCAAGTATTTTGTTTTTAGTTTTATTTTGTTTGGAAGTAACTCAGGCCAAACATATTATTTTAATAAGAATTTGTACATTTGAAATTCTTTCTTAAATTTCTATATTACAACAAGACATCAATTATTTATATTATAGGAAATAGCTGTTTAAAATGACAAGAAATCACATATCATGTAGTAATTTTATAGTCTTCTGCAAAAGAAAGTTTCTTTAAAATTTATTCATACTTTTAAAAGTGTGAGAATCTGAGGGATGATGATTTAAATTATTAAATTAAATAACAAATTTTTGATAGAAAAATTTATCTTTTTACAAAAATTATATGAAGTTGAAAAAGGAAATTCCTATTTTGATGTAGGAAAACAACTTAGTTCCTCCAAAAGCAATAATATATATATTTTGTATGAAAAGTGATAGGTTGCCTCTAAACATGCTCTTGCCCTTGTCTCTTTTCACCAATCTTCTACTCATGTATTCTTAACTGAGGAAGAATCTATGCTCCTGATTCTCCGACTTTCTCATGTGATGCCTGGAAATAGCATTAACAAAAAGAAAATTAAAAAGGGAAATACAGTAAACTCCCGATTATCCGGGCTAATGGTGGAGAGAGGTGGCATGGATAATCCAGAAACACGGCTAATCCGAACTATAATTATTTATTTCTAAAATACAACATGTAGATTCAATGTAAATTCACCTTTTTCAAATTTTTCAATTAACGTTAGTTTTTGTTTTATAGTAAGTACAACTTTCTTTCGATTATTAGGCATTTAAGGGTACTTATCTGAAAATTAAAAAAAAACATCTTATTTTACACAATTTTACACTAAAAGTATTTGTGGGAGAGTTATGTCAAATATTAAATTGTAATACGTATTATAACATGCAACTAAACGAAACTTTGTATAAATGTACTCGCTATTGTTTTCTCCTCCATCCAGCGTGAAAGAAGCAGCCTAACTAAAATCAGTCCAGCTGACTTCAGATACCCCCACCACCTGCTTCAAACATCTAAATACGAACATGTGCACACTTATAGGATGTGTAAACATGAAAGCGAGCAACTATTTAAAAAATACATACACATATAATTATTTTTTTAAAAATTAAATTGATGTACAGATAATCCGCAAACCGGATAATACGCACATGGATAATCGGGAGTTTACTGTATATAAAAATTTAAGATGCAGTTTAAAAAGTAAAATAAAACTAGAAAAATTTTAGAATGAGCGTGGGGTCATAGTCATCGATTAAATGCGATCAGAGTCTAAAAGATGTCAAATAGACCATCACTAGCAGACCTTTTCTGCCACCGACACGGAGTTCTATTTACATCTGGAGACAGGTGGGAGACCAATTAGAAAGCATGGAAGAAAAGTCTGTCCAATTAGCGATGGTTCGATCACTAAAAACTTATAAAAACTCCAACGTCAAGGACAGAAGGGGGCCTCCTCTAGTCTACCTGGGTGTTTGTTCACTCTCCGCTCATCATATGTCTGTTCATCTTTTTTGTGCTGTTTCTCCCGATTACGAACATTGAAGTGATGCCACCCCATAGCCCTACCAGCATTGGATTGGAACAAAAGGAAAGGAACTTCTGAAGACAACTCACAGAACTCTGAATTCCAGGATCTTGATAATTTTATGTAAGCATATTCGTCATAAATAAATGGTCTCTTTGTGAAATACTTGTCTCTTCCTGCCTCCTTAAAACTGCATATGAATTGACCTTAGTCTATCCCGACAGGAGGGAATAAAACCCCCTAATTGGTGAACTTACACTCACTTGTTCTCCTCCAAGACAAGACAAAATAACATGAATAAACTCATTACTCTCATTCCAAGAATTTCAACACTCAACATCAAGTAAATAGGTTCACTTGAGAGTTTACATAAATTTATATTTATGTAAACTCTCAAGTGAACCTATTTACTTGAGTTAACATAAATATAAATTTATGTAAACTCTCTTCACGAAAGGAACTAGATACAGTGGTACCTCAGGATACGAACGCCCCAGCATACGAAATTATCAGGATACGACATGAAATTCGAACATATTTTTGCTTTACGATACGAACAAAAACTCACCATACGACGTTACATTAGTTCGCAGAATCATTTTTTATTCACTTGTTTGCTTCGTCGTGGATGGATCTCGCTCGATAAAGGAAATCTTGAGGTATTATCAGAAAGTGACTGATTTTATTGAAAAGAAACATCCCAAAAAGGTTAACACTGGCCGTATTACTGCTCAGAGTAATGACATTTGCCTAAGTCATTTTAGAAACATTTTAAAAAGTAGGCAAAGCCTCTTTGGATAGATATTTTACCAAGCAACCTCTATCCAGTGAAAGTGCTGGTGGAAGTGAAGGAAAGAAAGCAAAAAAGCAGTGAATAAAAATTTAAAAAATATATATAAAACAACACTATTTTTTATAATCTTTTCTAAGTTATTTTTAAGTTATTGTTAACTTACGTTATGTAAGTTAAGTTTTAGTATCATTTCCCTTCTCCCTCTCTTCCGCCACCAGTTTACACCTCCATCGTCGTCTATCCTCAAAGTTAAAGTGCAAATAAAACTACTGTACATTTTTTAAATCAATTATTATTCTATTATGGTTATTTATACATTTACAAATACAAAACGCATTTTTCAGTGTTTTCCTTACTATATTTATTATTTTTAAATGTACTACTTAGCTTTAATTTGAATGTTTTTTTCGTGTTGGAACGAATTATTTGGTTTTACATGTAATCGTATGGGGAAAAATGATTCACCTTACGACATTTTCATGATACGATCTCAGTTTCGGAACGAATTAATTTCGTATCCTGAGGTACCACTGTAATAGGTTGACATTAGATCATATTCCAATAAGGATCGTTTATCATTAGAATCTTGTATTCTTTAATATGTTTATTTTTGTATAATTAGAATTTAATTCATTTGTGTAATAAGTCTGTTCTTCTGTGCTTAATAAAGATATCCTTTAATATTTATTGTATTTGATTCATTTTTGCTTAACTCTATCGTTGACTCACGTTACAAAATAAACCCTCCTTAAATTCCAGTAAAATTTTTACGTCTTTCTATTTGATAAGTTGGGTAAAATTATTTTGTGTCCTAACTTGTGAATTTAGACTTATATTTGTATCTTACTCTGCAGAACTGATTAAGTGATATCAGATCTTGACAATAATCTGAAAAAGTTGGAGTATTTGTGTATTCTTGACTTTTAACGATTAATTAACAACCATCAAACACTGAGACAGGGTCAACTGGAAACTCCTGTTCTCATAAAAGTAATTTCAAAAAATGTATATTTTAAAAAAGTCAACAATATGAAAATTCTCTTCAATCAAAACTTCATTTGATTTTTATTCTTGCCTTATTTTTTATACACCATTTAATCATCCTCATAATAAAACAAACAATGAAAATAAAATAATTTTGGAATGTACAGAACGTTAAATGCAAAATAAGAAATAAGTAGCAATGAATTTAAATTTAAGAAATGCTTCCAATACCAGTGTCCAGCATCTCAAAATTAAACTTTCATTACAGTGCATAATTTTCTTTAATTCATATAATCCTGAATTAAATTTAGAAAAGTTATCTACAAAATTTATAACAATGAATGAAATTCATAAACATATTCTTGCATTATCAACATAAAGTATCTTAATAAATTCTCAGTTAATAGAAAATATTTACCATCATCATATTCACAGTTTCCACCTTTATAACGTTGAGTACATTGGCAAGTATAACCTCTGTTGTCTTCAAGAGTATTAACACAAATGCCATTGTTTAGACAAGGTTCATTAAAACAAGCTGTTCCATATCCACCTATTAAAAAACAATAAATTAATATACCATTTAATGAAATATAATTTATTTCACTAAATGCATTAATCATGTTTTAGAAAATTATACAATAATCATAATTGTTTTAATCTATTTTTTCTTATTTTAGTTTCTTTAAGAGCAATTTATTTTTCTATATTTGAGCTCTAGATTTTTTCCTTTTGCATATAAAACACCTGATAATATTATATTTTAAAGATGAACATACATTTGTAACTGCATTGAAGGACAAATACAGAAAATGAGACAAGAATGAGAAAACAAAGATTTACTATTATAGCAGAGCAAGCTAAAAATCAAAATATAAAATGACTAAAAGATTAGATTTTAAAATTAGTAAAAGGACTATATGGTAGAAAAATAATGGGATAAGGGAAGATACTATATATTTCTGAGATGAAAATAACAATTACAGCCCTATTCCAGTATTAAAATTCCACTACAACCAATGATATTCTGTAGTACTGTGTGTAATATGTGAACTGAATCTTTCCAGTATTATGAATTTCTTTAAAGATCAATTGTGAAAAACTAAAAAGATTTACTAATAAAAGTGGAAAATAGGGGGGTGACTCTTTTTGGTATCTGAGGCACTGTCTGTTATAATGCAATTGTGCACTTTACTGTATTTTTAATCACAAATTTTAATTTAATCATATGAATTAATTCTTAGCACTTTCTTATAGTAAGTTCATTACCTCACTTTAATTATTTTTACTGTTCTTTTAGTTTTATTCAGTAACTAGCTTACCCGTCGCGCATTGCTGCGATCTCAGAAGAAAGGAAATTCAAGCAAACTCGTTATGATAAAATTCAATTTACATTTTATTATTTTTATTGAAACTTATTATTATTATTCATTTTCATCGGGAAAACATTTCAAAGTGTCGTTTCAATTCTATTTATTTATTGGAGTGTTTGTGGATACACGATATTTTTTGTTTTTCCGTCTGGTGCGTACACGAATAAATCAGGTTTTCCGACGCATGAGCCGGCCACATACAGTTGTCCATGCGAGAAGCACGGATTCTCCAAATTTAGCCCACACACTCGCTGCGATTGTCAGAAGTGCGATATTCCCCATTTTTATATATATTTTTAAATCCTTTATAATTTTCATTATTTAATTGCTCCTTCCTCTCTTCCTTGGCATGTTGTGAAATTTCTGATAGTTGGATAATAAACCGTTTTATTGTAATTTGTCTTTTTAAATTATTTTGAGTCGATATTAAAATTTGGAAAAGGGGGATCCCTAGATCGGTAAAATAGGCGAATTTCCTTCTACAACTTCGGTTGTTGTTCATGATACAGTTAAGGCTTTAACAAAGTTCGAGCGATTACGTAATTAGCAAAAAAAAGTTGAAATAAAGTGATTAAACAAACATTATTACAAATATCGTAAATAACAGTTCACAAATGCATATATAGAGATATTTTTTGAAGGGGGAAATGGTCTTCACAATTTGAAATTGATCGAACACACTGTGCGCAAATGCTTGTGTAAACGCACGCCATCTATCGTAGGATAAATGTACTATGCCAAAAACCTTCGCGGGAGTGTATTAAAAAACTTTCCGAAGTTTTATGGCAATTGTACTATGCCACAAACCTTCGCCGGAGTATATTAAACAACTTCCCAAAGTTTCACGGCAATCGGATAAACGGTGTGGTAATGCATGAAGGACATAAGACAGACACACAGACAGACATACATTCATTTTTATATATATAGATATCTTAATATAAAATGAATATATCATCATCACTACTATTATACTGACTTTATATATAAATAAACTCACAAAGACACCATAGCAGCAGTTTATTCATATATAGCAGGACTTCTTAAACTATGGGTCGTGACCCCATTTGGGGTCGCTTAGCGAAATCTTGGGATCGCAAGATTTTAATGCAAAATATGAAAAATAATTTGTGAGAGTTTGAAAATGGCATGCTTTGTGTCATAGGTTTCGTGGGTTGCGCTTTGTGTCACTTCTGGTGCAGCGAGACAACGATTCAACAACACTGTAGTGTGAACTAGTGTAGTGTATTCAGTTGTCTCTGTTCCATTGTAACATAAGAATGAACTGTGGTAGTACACCATTATTGTTTTTGCAAATTTGTATATATCTTTATTTTATATTCTTGGGGTCGCGACAAAAATCACAATCATAAATGGGGTCATAAATAAAAAAAAGTTTAAGAAGCCGATATATAGTATCATAATAATAATTTTATCACTATCTATTCTATATTTCTATATAATTCCTCATAGGAGCACTATACAAACTTATTAATTGCATACTGCTTAGAAACGTAACTTTTAATACCTTCATTAAGTGTTTATTTGTAAGGTAATTGAAGTTTATAATATTAAACATCATTCTAAACTATCAATAGATAAATATCATTTGTATGATTTAGGGTTTTTTGCAGTATTATCTAGGAAGGTTTGATTGAGGTTATTTGGATGGATTGAAAGGGAGTTAGAATTTTTTCCTTTAAGAAATAAAGAAAAAAGTTTATTAAATATCAATTTAATTATAATTATTAAATTTAATAAGAGATGGTACCTAACACCAACTTCTAATACCAAATTATTTAAAAATTAATTTATAATAACAGGAGTAAAGTAGCCCAATTTAATCTGGTAGTCATTTGGCATAACAGAAAAAAGTCTCTTCATATCCAAATTCTAATATTTTAAACTGTTTTTAGGTATACATTAGATGCAGGTAACAAGTTATGGCTGTATTAGAAAATGGAGTTCCTGTAATCTGGTCTTCATTTAAACTACCCATAACCTATTATAGCATAAAACAATACACATACACACACACATTTATAAATCATATTTATGTTTTGAACAGTCAACTAATAGTGCCATTACCCTATCTTATCATAAAATATTGGAGAACATAGGTGGACAAATTGCATATAAAGACAGAATGGATAGGCAATATATTAATGTGGATGGGTTTAGGATAAACTATTAAAATGAAACAATATACAAGAAACATTTTTGAACATCCAGATGTTTATTAAAAACCAAAAAATATTTCCAGTTATTATAATAGGATTTAAAAAAAATAAAGCAATCAAAAATAAATACAAAAGAAAAAATAAATAAAACTAGAAATAAAGCTCTATTGTTAACTTAAAGTATGTGAAAATGTATGAACATTACTAACAAAAAGCATGTATTACACTAAGAACATCAATACTGTGAATATTTACAGCTGTGATGAAATGTTCATATAATATAAAAATTTATTTCTTTATTTATTTTATTAAACAGCTATTTCCATGCTACAGAAATTGAATGTCTAGAACTGTAAAGATTTCTAACAAATATTTTTTCCCATCATAAATCATTTTAATAGCTCAAAAATTCTAATAGAACAAAATTATAATCTAAAATCTCATTTTCAGAGACATTTTGAAGTTTAACTTTGCCTAAAATAAAATTTCCTTTGCATTCAATAATACCTCTTTAGTAGCTTCCAAAAGCATCATGTACAGAATATATAACAATTAATATTCTGAGACAAGAATGACAGGTAACTCTAGTAACATGAAGTGTCATTTGATGATAATTTTTTCATTTTTATTGTAACAACATGCAAAGCCAACAAAAAAAAATGAATTTAAATATGAATCTAATGTTTTAAAACTTTAATATATTATCAGTCCATCTTTTCTGTGAAAATTTGAAATTCTGTGGACATTTTCAAGAGTTAGAAGCATTTTTAAAAATTTTTCATGAAAATGACATTTTATAACTAAATAAAGTGAATTTCTTTACATTTATATTTCATAAAAAGCAGTGATCAAAATCAAAAACCAACAGAAAAACTAACAGAGCTAACATTTTCACCTGTGTTAAACAGGCATTCTCAGGCTAAATGACCCCACAGCTGTTAAAGCAATAGAGGATTGCTGCACAAGTGTCAAGACGGGAGGTGACATAGGAGGGAGGGGAGAGGATAAAAGTTTACAATTTGTGGAATGTCTTCCACATGAGAAGGAATCTACACCGCAAAAGTTAATGACAGTATTTTTGGGCGGCCTTGTAAATTTTTACCGGTTCTCAATATCTGAGATTTTTTTTATGAGAGGAGCTATATATGAGGCATGCATGGTTGAAATGTACATCTATGTCAGGGTCAGAGGCAAAAGTGGCTAGAGCAGTGTTGGCTGACCATTTCAGGATGGAATTCTGATGCTCTTTGAGACAGGTGTTTAAAGGAGACATTGTAGCACCTATGTATTTCAAGTGGCAGCTGGTTCTGTGATCTGTAACCAAGATAGTGTATATGTCTGGTTGGAGGTGCATATCTGAGACCTTTAGCATTGCAGAAAGAGGTGAAAACTAAAAAGACTTCTCCAGAGGGCTAAACAAAAATTATTGTTCCTGGAAATTTCTTTGTACAGGGCAACTAAAAACATTAGCTCTATCACTTTTTCTGCTGGTTTTTAGTTTTGTTCACTGCTTTTACAAGTTTATCCAGTTGTGAGTGGTTGTTTTATATTTGTATTTCCTTCATGTTAAAATTTTCTATCATCATATTTTATAATTCATTTTACTTTAATACAAACATATACTGTGTAGAATAATCATTATTGACATAATTCCCTTCTATTAATAATTTGACAGAGCAATCATATAAATACTAAATCTAAAAATGAGAGATCATTCTGAACCAGAAGTTAAGACATAATTATCTCAACCAAAACAAGCACATAACAGCAAATCTTTTAGATGTATACTATTACATTTTTAAATAATTATAAGAAAAATTGTTTATCCTTATAAATAAATTTAAAGATTCTTTAATAACATTACACTATATTAGTAGAATGTTCTTTTGAGTGAGCAAAGAAAGTGAAATGATTTTCTGAAACAAAAACTTATTTCTTTTTAAACAGTTTTATTTATTAGACGAAAAAAAAGAGCACTCACGTCGGATGACAAATAAACC